GTGAACGCGGTGACGCGATTAGTTTGAACGCGGTGCCGAGGCGCAAACAAAACACGCGCGCGCTCGCGTTTCTCTCCCAGCAGCGCCAGCGCGGCGACGATTCATCGCGGCGAATATTTGGCGCGCGCGATCCGAAAGCAAAACATGCGTCGCGCATCGCCGGACAAACGCATCCCCCGCGTTTTCCCTTTTTGCGGCGTGCGCTCGCGTGCGAGTTCTCGTCTGGCCGGCGAAAATATCTCGCATATTTTTGTTGGGAATTAATCCGGACCGTAATACCGGCCAGCGGGTGCGCGCTGAAAATTCTCTCGACAAACAACCCTCACTCTCTCATCCCTCCGTCCGCGCCCGTCGGCTTGCCCGCCGCGACGTTAAAGGGCGCACAGCGTACCCGCGATCGCGCACGTGCACGATCTCCACGTGTGTTCGTGTCTTGGGAAAGGTAGCTGTATACGCTAATATACAAGGTGCCTCGAAAAAATAGATATATAAGTGCGATCGGGTTTTGATGATACACGACAAATTCGGCGCTCTATATATTCGGCGCTCTGGTGATCGGAAGGTAGGTATATATAGCATTTCTTAAATATGGTGAACATGCACAAGATGTGACATGTATGTAACGGTGTCCATTGCACTCGCATTTCGCCAGAAAAAAAGTCACTATGCTGCGTATGCAAGAAAACGATTGGAAAGCTGTCTCAGAATTATTCACACCTAATCTTTTGTCTCGTTAGAACCCTCTCTTTACTCTTTTATCATCGATCCCTCGCAAATATCCCGAATTTAATGCCATCAGATGTGATTATACTATATTCTGTGTACTACTTAAGTGATTCTCTCAGCGCGTCTATTCCAAACTCAACCACACAGGAACACAGCCTCACTACTGTACCGAATTTCCAACGCGAGTCACCTTGTATAGAGTTCTACAACCTCCGTGAATGTATCTGACGGCGCTCGTGCATACACCCTATCTATGTATTCGACAAGTACGTGAATGTGTGCGACCGCCTGCGAGCGGGAAAACGCGAAAACCGGCGAAATGGTCAGCCGTAACCCCCGACCCGGGAGCCGTCCTCCCCTTCCCTTTCCTCCCGCCCCTCCCTTTATCCCATCCCTCACGATCACCCCTCACGCGACTCCCGACAGACCCCCGCGGAGCGCATATTCGCCGCCTGGAATTTCTCAAGTTTGCCGAGGGACAGAAATTAGTTGGAGCGACGTAATTGCTGGAATGTATGCGTTCGCCCGTTAACGTTATGGCACTTCTCATTACCGTCCTAACGGCAGTTGACACGAGCTTCCGCCCCCATATGCGCCACTCTTGGAAAAAGAAAAAGAGAAAGGAAGAGAAAAAAAGAAAAGAAAAGATCAAATGCCACTTCGGAGAAGGCCAGGCGCGATAAGTGCGGCCATCCTATTACGACGCGCGCGTATGTTCTCGCAAATGTTCTCGCAAATATATACGAGGGTGGTCCGATAAGTACTTAGCCTACAAAAGAAAAACGAAAATTTTGGAAAAGTGGCGATTTATTTCTCAACATAGTCTCCTTTTAGCTCGATACATTTGACCCAGCGATGTTCCAACTTCTTTAACCCGTCTGAAAAATACGTTTTCTCGAGGTCTGCAAAGTAGGCCTCCGTGGCGGCGATGACCTCCTCATTCGACTCAAATTTCTGCCCGGCGAGTGACTTTTTCAAGTTTGGAAACAAAAAGAAGTCGCACGGGGCCAAATCTGGAGAATACGGTGGATGGGGCAGCAGTTCGTAGCCTAATTCGACCAATTTGACCGTGGCGAGGGCGGAGGTGTGAGCCGGTGCGTTGTCATGGTGGAAGAGCACTTTTTTCTTCGCCAAATGGGGCCGTTTTTTCTGCAATTCGGCGTCGAATCGGCCCAATAATTCGGCATAGTACAGCCCTGTGACCGTTTTGCCCTTCTGCAGGTAGTCGATGTAGATCACACCTTGTGAATCCCAGAAAACGGTAGCTATCACCTTTCCGGCCGATAGGACAGTCTTCGCCTTCTTCGGAGCACGTTCGCCGGGAGAAGTCCACTGTTTCGACTGTTCCTTGGTCTCTGGTGTGTACCAGTGGATCCATGTTTCGTCGACGGTCACGAAACGACGCAGAAACTCCTTCGGATTGCGCTTAAACAGCGTCAAACACTGCTCTGAAGTGGTCTCATGGTTGCGCTTGTTGTCCGGAGTGAGCAAACGCGGCACCCATCGCGCCGACAGCTTTCTCATGCCCAAAATTTCATGCAGGATATGACCCACGAGGTCTTTTGAGATGCCTACTGTCTCAGCTATCTCGCGCACCTTCAATCGGCGGTCTGCCAATACGAGATCATGAATTTTTGTCATGTTATCCTCCGTGGTAGCCGTTTTCGGGGCACCTGGGCGTGGCTCATCAAAAACCGACGTACGACCACGTTGAAACTCGTTAAACCAATTTTTGACGGTCGCCATCGAAGGAGAAGAGTCACCGTACACAGCATCCAAGCGCTCTTTGATTTCGCTGCGCGATTTCCCTTCCAAAAACAAGAATCGAATCACCGACCGATATTGCTCTTTTTCCGGAGGCGTGTCCACGGATTTTTCTAAAATCCGTGGACACACCCGCTTCCACACGCGGTCAAAACAAAACTACGAGTCCGATTCGGCTGAAATTTCGACAGTAGCCGTCTACGAGAATGTACTACACGATAGTAAATTTCTCTTGCGATAGTGGCGCCATCGGGCAGTGAGGCTAAGTACTTATCGGACCGCCCTCGTATATCACGCAATTTCAAGATCTGTATCGTATCTGTGTCCACGATGCGCACTGCGCTTCGTGGACACAATTCTTCGTAATAAGATCTATGAATTGGAATTACCCGGACATGATTCTCTTGATAATATACAGAGTCAACGTTGTCGCAAAATCGAACAGTTAAAAAGTTCACTCCTGATCGCCGGTGCGGATCGGAGAGACTCATTAGAACAGATAAAAGAATTTTCAGATGAGCTCATCGAAGATTCGTTCGGACATTTCCGGTATCTCGACCTTGTTCAATTTTCGACGTGACATATTCACAATCACGTTCGATCAACTCTACGTGAGAAACTTAATTACTTTTCGCAAGTACTCGTACTTGTTTTTCTTCCTGTTTTTTATCTTTTATAACGCGGTATAATATCGCCGCGTCCGAGCTCGATGCTCCTTCCTTCAGAGCTTGCATTTTTGCGATTGTTATCGAGGAATTTTTCGAGGATTCACTCGATTATTTGGCCGCGCAATAATAAACAGTCAAAATCTCGTCGAACGCAATTTAATCAAGTTTCGTAAGTTCGCCAGCGGTGTGGCGGTTGTCGGGGTCAGTACATGCATTCTATACTAGCCAGGGGAATTTTGTGGACATCACGCGCGGTCACCCTCTATAATATTAATGGCTCGAGTATGAAATTTGCTTAATCATGACTAACGGGATAACCCAATGGAATCACAATGGGTTCGTCGCCGTTTCGCCCGTCACGTCAATTCCGATTAAAGATGACCACGGAGTTCATGTGATTAAAAAAGAAAAAAAAAGGAAGGAAAGATCCCCGTGTGATTCGTTGCAAGTTTTGTAAAACTAAATCAATTATAACGCCACGATTTTCTCGAATTAGAACGGCACAGTTTCACGAAATTTGATAGAACGCAGTGACAACGATTTAATAGAAATAGAAAATTAATCAAATTTTAAAGCGAAATCTCGGTCGCTAATTTGCTAATTTATTCGCGTCAATTCGCGTCGACTAACCTTTCTTGATCAGCAACAAGCATTCCCTCCGTATCCGTCCAATCAGTACATTTTCCCTGAAACGCAATATTTCTTCTTTAATTTCATGTACATAACAATGTTTTTCCTCCTCGAGCTTAATAATATCAGTGATTTTTCCCACGAGCCCAAAATAAATAAGATCGCTCTTATGATCGAACGATTTGATCTATATACATACTAATCATCCACTGAACTGTGCATATGCTTAAATGCACTATATTTATATTTGTTCCTTTAATATATTTGATTCTATGATCTCCTGTGACTTTCGTTACTGACAATAATATTGATACTAATAATAACGGTTATTTTGAATGTATTCTACAAGTTTGCTATAAAAAAATACGATGCTAAGATATACTATAAACAGTGATAATGACTCAAAAGTTCTCAGACATGCATAAGAATTCATTCTCTCCGCTGGACAAAGCGAATATTTTCGTGAATATTTTTGCTCAGGCACGTCTCCAATGGCTAGTAGCATTTTCTTGCTTAATTAGCGTGAATAATGCCGCGCATTTGACCATTTCGTATCTGTGGTCAGGATGATAAAAAGATTCCACGCGAGAGAAGAAAAGCCGGACGTTAAAAGTGAGAATGACAAATCCGAGAAACTAGGAAAACAACTGGGAAAGCATGGTCAAGGGACGAAAATTACGAAAAACAATGAAAAATATTCATTACTTACGGTGAATCAGGTATACGTCCATTTCCTGATAAAATCGTCCCAGTTACATGTTAGGCTATACGAGGGATGCATTCGTATGCATGCTTCCTTGTCACATATAATGTGTAATTCCACGCTGCGTTATATATTACTGCAATAATAAATTTTGCACATGAAACTTGGTTTCTTTTCTCTTCAGTACAAATTTACATACTTGTTTCACTCTAACGGCAAAAAATTGTAATCTAATTTAGTTAAAAAGAACAAACTTATGTCCGTTTCTACCAACCGTGATTACCAACCGTAATTTAACCGACTGGTTATTTCATCGGGATTAACCAATCGCATTTAACAATTCTAACTAACAACAAATGCGACTGGTCAATTCCGTTGGAATAACCAACCGGTTGAGTTAACCAAGGTTGGTGGAAATGAGCATTAATGATAGAAAAGGAATAAATGCGTTTCTCCTCTGTTTCGCAAAACTTACATGTTTCTGGTCGACAAGGTAGAGAGCCAGATTTATCGGCAGCGCGGGGATTCATCAGAAAACACGCATAAGATCTTTGCACGCGAAGATTGCCGGAAAGCCCATGAGTTGGTTAAAGTATGGCATTTGCTACGCGAAGTCTACGAGTTTTATGCAAAATATATAATAGTAGCGCCAGAGTGACATGTTGTACACTCCGGCGACCGGTTGCTCGAATATCGCTCGTTCAACTAACGCAAAAATATAATACCGAGAGTAAGTACAATTATAACCTCTGAGAAGCATGGGGATCCTGTTTTTTTCTATTTTCGGCAAAATCCTTTAAATATATATGATAAATGTGCCTTCATCACACAATGATAAGAAAATATAGAATATTTTCAATATTTTTCAACGAAAAGAATGCATGTAATGGGGGAAGTTACGTATTTAAATTTATTAACATTTATTTGTTTAAGAGAAAAAGCGTCATATAATTTCTGCATATATCCGATATACTTAATAAAAAAAAAAAGAAAGAGAGAGAGAGACCATTATCTTTACTCTAAAATGCACTCTTGTGCACACAAGCATATATATTTAATGTATATTTCTTTTTCATATTTTTCATACAAAAGTGATATTTTTCACTTGTCTTTAGCTACAGGTCGTTCCAAAATCACCAGTAATCTAACAAACATACAGTCTTCAATAAGTGAAGCAGATTCATTAGTACAGGAAGCAGCAGCTCATAAAAAGCAAGATGAACAAACAAAGGAAGAAGATAAGGCAAATCGTGAAAGATCAAAGAAAATGATGAATTATGGTTTTATAGTCTTTGGTGTATTCATGGGTATTGGCTTCACTTATGTAGTATATGAATTAGGAAGACCTAATTATGATAAAGATGGAAATGTCATCGAGGATGAGTTTTCCAATTTGCCATTCTTCGAACAGATTTACAAGAGAGTCAGGAGAGAACTCAATTATTATACAAAAGTATGACACTTTTACAGTTTACACTTTGAAATAAAACATAATTTTATGGTATATTTTATATTAAATATTATTTTTCATAATCATTTTGTATATAGCTTGTGCAGGAACCTAGTAGGGAAAAGTTACTTCCCGATCCACTAAAGTATCCATTTATGCAGCCGCCATATACTCTAATCTTAGAGATGACAGATCTTCTTGTGCACCCAGAATGGACAGTATGATTCTCATTTATAGAGATCTGATATTATATTTGCAATTGATATTATTTCTTTTTAATATATTTTAATTATATAGTACCAAACTGGATGGAGGTTTAAGAAACGGCCTGGAGTGGACCAGTTTTTAGAAGCAGTAGCACCGCCGCAATTTGAGATTGTAATTTATACCGCTGAACAAGGAATGGTACTTTTGTGAGATATTAATTTTCTTTTTCTTCTTCTTCAATACTATTATATTTCTAGAAAATATATCTGACATAGAGAAATGTTAGAGAATATGTTGGAATCCATCTATTTGGAAGAAAGGAACATTTGTCGATTTTAATTGCAGACTGTGTTTCCTATCTTGGACGCACTCGACCCACATGGATATATAATGTATAGATTAGTCAGAGATGCTACGCGTTTTATAGATGGACATCATGTTAAAGATCTGGCAGCTCTCAATCGCGATCTCAGTAAAGTAATTATTACAGCATTATGTATTTTTTTTCCATCACTTTTCATGCTTGTTCGATCAGCCTTTGTATAGCCATGAGGGTTTTACATCATTCTAATAATTATCTACATAGGTTATTGTTATCGATTGGAACGAAAAGAGCGTGAAAATGAATCCAGAAAATGCATTCAGAATTCCACGGTGGACTGGAAACGATGATGACACTACGCTGTACGATTTAGCAGCATTCCTAAAAAGTAAGATTGATCTCAAAATTATGCCCGTCTTAAAAGTTTCGTGTAACATTCCCGCGATTGCAAATGTCTTATTTTATAATCATTAATTATATCAGCACAGGCGCATTCTGCGCTGACGAAAAAAGGCACAAAACTCTTAATTTTTTTAGCGATATCGACATCAAACGTGGATGATGTGAGAGACGTTCTAAACTATTACAGACAGTTTGGTAATCCATTGGAGACGTTTAGAGAAAATCGTCGGAAATTATTGGTAAGTTATTATATTCGGTAATACTTCGCGTATAATTGGTCTTTTGCTGTAACAATAATTATCGGCAGATGCAAATGGAAGAGGAACAAAATAAGGCGCAACAAGGAAGTAGTCAAGTACTTACTTCGAGATGGAAACCATCTTTCCTACGAAACCGCTAGTCAAAGTGGAACGAATTATATTGAAATTTCGCGTACATCTTTCGAGTGCATGATACAAACACGTGCGAGAAAAAATTATTGGGAGGAAGATACCACTCGTTGTGTAATTTTTATCGTAATAAAATAAGTAATATTTCAAATTTTATATTTGAATATTACTCATGCACTCCTATGTGTGTATTGTAAAACAAAATTACACACTTACATACGTACACGTTAAATTATACATTAAATACATACTGTTTGCATCTATATGCAATGTTATGCAATAATCTATATGCATGTTAAACGAACTAATTTTGATATACATATGCAAAAAGAAAAAAGAACAATACAAATTTCAAACGTGTGTCAAACGGTCAGACTTCTCATAATAATTCTTTTTATTAATCTAGAATTAAACAAACTATTTACATGTTCTTTTTACATGTACTAGATCTCGATACAACTTTCGGCAACAAGATTTCTTGCAGCACATTGCTATCATCGATACATGCAATATCCTGCTGTTGAGATACACTGTATAATTCCTGAGTATTGAAAGGTGTAGGTATAACACATTCAGGCTCATTCTGTGATTGCGTGGCATATTGCGAAGTTGACGATTCCAACCAATTCAATACTTTCTGATGGGGCGCCGCGGATGCAGGTACCGGCACTTCCTCGCGTATTTCCCAAACCGCAAGAAGTTCCGGTGCTAATATGTCGATGTACGATCCCAGCATTGATAGCGATTTTTTCCAGGTTGGCTCGAAAGGATCGTCCACGATTTCTTCGCTAGTCTTCAAACGAAGCTTTCTATTCGTAAAATCTGTAAGATTATTCTGTTAATTTTCGAATATTCGCGAGAGTGTTATCGGAGATTAAGAGAGGTTTACTCACTTTCGTATATATATTGCATATTACACTTATCGGTAAGTGTTAAGGGCACCAACGGCTCACCTTGCGCTTGCAAAGCCTTCTCCCAGATACTCAATGCGTAACACGCCTTGTTATTTACTGGTGAATATTTATCCAATACAGTTTCGTGTGTTATACACTGATAAAATATATCACCTGAAGATAATAAATATATTTACAATAAAATGGCAAAGTGAAGCAAACCTGTGAGATTTGTTGGGAAAAAGAAATATTCGCCATATAAAAAGATAGAATTAATTATACCGATCGAATTTTGAACGAAGTAGGACACTTCTCCTTTTGTGCTTGTGACTAGCGTACTACCAACATTGCACAATTCAAATCTGCTTCGTAAGTATGGATCCAAACACATTCCTCCCATTTGAGCTTCATTTAATGTTTCCGCGATGTATGAGGGTCTAAAAGGCAAGTTAAAAGAATGAGACTCCTCCATTTTCCAAGTATTAAGAATTATTGCATTTTCACCAGCTGTCTGACTTGACAAGACAACGATTTCCTCGTCATTGCTGCAATTAATAAATAACAATTACACTTGCAATAGCAAAGTTATGTATGTATAACTATTAATATAATTGGATTTCTCTCATAAAAGTATTTATCACCTGTTCGTTACAGCCATCAATAACGGAGTACTCTTAAATTGATGCGTCCATTTTTGCTGTACGCATTGTTTTGGAGAACGATTATCGCACATTAACAGAGAATGACATGTACCCACGTATCGACAGGTGCTATTTCTACTCGCTGCATTCACCGAGAGATTCTCACAATTTTCTAAATGTGATTTCGGACACAGGGTGAGACACGGGCGATCAAAAGGAGCCTGCGAACACACAAATCTAATACAATATTCTAATAACAAGATATTAGAAATGGAAATATTTGTATTGACAAATAGTATACTAAGTGATATTAACTCCCGTATCTTACTCTGGTATCAAGATAATGTAAACAACATCGATCCATATAAATCAATACGTTTGAATCTCCCTGCTGGAATCTTACACTTCCCCAAGCATCGTGAGTCTTGTCTTGCGATACAGAACTACTGCTAATGTAATTCCTAGAAAAAAGAAACTATTGTTGCAAAAAAGATACAATAAAATGATATAAAAAGATTGGAACCAAAGAGGTAAACTTACGTCCTGGTTATATCCCATAAAGACAGTATTTTTTCCGCATTTAGTGTACAATGATAATTGACATCATTTACACTTAAATCAGCACTGACATATGGTATCTTTGATGCCTGTTTATGAATTTCGTGAAGCTTTAATCGATTTTTAGCATTGGAAAGCGTATAAAGAGTGCATTGATTTTTATGTCTTCCTAAAATTCTACCTAAAATGTGAAAATTTATGTAACAACAAATATGTTTATATATTATAAATATATATTAAAATATAAGACTATTAACATACATGTATTATTAATACTATTTTGTCTAATTTCGTACAGTATTCCATGTAGTTTGTATTTAGCTGAATTTTGCAATAATGGCTTCCATATAGAATCTTCCATGGATGTGATATTTGCAGCAACTAAAATGATTTCAATACAAAGAGAATTAAAAATTCATAATTGAAATGATTATCAGCTTCTGCAGATATACTTGTATTCAAAGCAATACCTAAATCTCCCATAAATGGGAACAACAAGACATCCCAACCACTCAACTGAATATAATTCAATGATCCGCCAGTATAGTACCAGTTGTAAGTCTATATATAAAAGATATTTTATTAACAAATATATAAACAAAATATTTGTATTATCCTAAGTTCACTTTGATATATTCCGATATTTTTTCTAATATATAATATAATACTTTACAGAATATTTTACATATTATATCCAGTAAAAACAAAAGTATTAGAAAATATGATTTGAGAATCTCATATACCTCATCAAAATAAGGATCAGGATCCATTTCAATTAATTCCGCTATATCTGCAACATATTTTGGTATTTTTGCATTATATCCATTGCTTCCTCCATTCCACCTCATCTTTTTCCTCTGTATTTTTTCAAACTCTAGTGGAAAAAAAAGTAGTTTATCAAGTAAGTCTATGCAAAGTCAATGCTGAGTAAGTTTAAAATATAAGAATTACTATTAAAATCTTATATGAAAACCTTGACTGTGTCTTTGATAATATTTCACTATTCTGTTTATATCATCCTTCAAGTGGCTTTTGAGAGTAACAAGTTGTAAGGCTGGATCTTCTTCGCCAAGCACTGTTTGGAAAGGAAACATATATTCAAAGTATCAAATATAATTGGAAGTATAAGCTACAAGCTATGACATATATAATTGTATATCTTTTCCAAAAATATGTTTTTAAGATACTTGAGATTTAAGAGATGATCTAAAAAAAAAGATTATATTTTACTAAGTTAATGTTAAAATACCTGTTCTTGGTAATTTTGCTGGTGGTAATAATGGCTTTGGTAAGTCACAATTGTACGGAAATTCTTGAAAGAGTCCCATTATATTCTCCTCATCCCATTCCTCAATATATGTCTTATTCAAGTTATAGCCCGGCATTAGATGATGTGAATAGCTCTTTAAAAATGCATTGCTCAATTTATTTTGCAAATTGTTTTCAGCACGCTTGAATGCTTTTGATTTTAATTCTTGTCTACTCATGGTTTAATCAATTTTATTAATTTTCTTCTTTTATATACATATCATAGGTTATACTTTTTTTTCTTCAATATAGCAATCTCAGATCACTGTCCCTTCAACTCTACCCAAGGAACATACAGCTGGGCTGCGTTCCGATATTCACTGTCAGCACTACAAATCTATAGTATACGTGACGCAAACTATGTATTTTCAGTACTGGCAGTGAATATCGGAACGCAGCCCTGTACGGCACATAATGGGTGCATTCACTACTACAACCGCTCACTGAGCGCTAAGTGAGCTCTTGCATCTGATTGGTGTATATTTTTAAATCTAAGGAATATACCAATCAAATGTAAAAGCTCATTGAGCGCTCAGTGAGCGGTTGTAGTACTGATTGCACTCATTATGTTATGTACACTCGTGAACTAAAAGGTATGTGCACCGATTTTTTGTTGACTTCGGAACGCGCTCCAACTTGAGGAGAAAGACAACCACTGCTTCATACGTCAGCGTTGTCACTTATTACGAGAGCAGAAGGATGGCATATACGAGTGTCAAATAAGTAGTGATTGTGGCGTAGACACAAATGTCTTGGAGATTTTGAGTTATAATTGAAGAAATGAAGAAAACAAACAGTGATTGTGAAGAAAAGTGGCGAAAGGCTTCATAAAATTTGTAAAACAGCATATTAAAAGAGAGTATTAATTGTCTAATAATATTTTAAGTGAAAAATATTTTTAAATTTGAGTGTAAGTTAAAAAAGTTATAAACCATAATTTCTTTAATGTTAATAATTTTATAGCTATAAATTTGCCATCGACGTTAAATGAATATGTATATAATGCTATCATTTACATAAGTGGAAAATTATGTTATTGCGCTCATAAAAAATAAGCAGCAGACCAAGTCGAGTGATATTTTTTTAACAAGATACTCATATCACTCAACTTGGTCTGCTGCTTACTTCTACTGAACACAATAATATAATTCCTCACCTATGGAAATAATAGCATTATATATATATTCATTCAACGTCGATGACAAATTTATTAACATTAAAGAAATTATGGTTTATAACTTTTTTAACTTACACTCAAATTTAAAAATATTTTTCACTTAAAATATTATTAGACAATTAATACTCTCTTTTAATATGCTGTTTTACAAATTTTATGAAGCCTTTTGTTCACTTTTATTCACAATCACTATTTGTTTTCTTCATTTCTTCAATTATAACTCAGTCTCCAAGACATTTGTGTCTACGCCACAATCACTACTTATTTGACACTTGTATATACCATCCTTCTGCTCTCGAATAAGTGATAACGCTGACGTATGAAGCAATGGTTATCTTTCTCCTCAAGTTGGAGCGCGTTCCGAAGTCAACAAAAAATCGGTGCACATACCTTTTAGTTCACGAGTGTACATATAAAATCTATAGTATATGTGACACAAACTATATATTTTCAGTACTGGCAGTGAATATCGGAATGTAGCCTCAGAACAGAGGTTAAGCCAGCGGCACACGATGCTTGTTTTTGTGCTGGATTGCTTGCTGGATGAAAATAGTGCGTTCTGATTGGTGCATTTCCATCCATCTTCGGAAATGTATCAATCAGAACGTAGTATTTTCATCCAGCAAGCAATCCAGCACGAAAACAAGCACCGTGTGCCGCTGGCTTTACTCTCACAGCTAATGTAGACGCCCATCTATAAAGGTCATTCTACAATACATGTCGTAAGTTGTAAGCTGTAAGAATTGGCGAATCACAGTCGATTATTACAAAAATAATCGGCTATAATTGGTTACGACTTACAACTTACGACACGTATTAAGGCTCGTCTACATTAGCTGTAAGAGTAAGGCTGTAAGGTTGCAAGACACGAAATGAAATATTTTCATTCGCTGACACCTTACGTTACAGCCTTACAGCCTACTCTTACAGCTATTGTAAACGAGCCTTTATAGAATGACTTTAAAGGCTCATCTACAATAGCTGTAAGAGTAAGGCTGTAACGTAAGCTGTCAGCGAATGAAAATATTTCATTTCGTGTCTTGCAACCTTACAGCCTTACTCTTATAGCTAATGTAGACGAGCCTTAATGGCTGCAAGAATAAGGTTCTAAGCGTCAGCAGTAAAGCCAGCGGCACACGGTGCTTGTTTTCGTGCTGGATTGCTTGCTGGATGAAAATACTGCGTTCTGACATTTCCGAAGATGGATGGAAATACACCAATCAAAACGCAGTATTTTCATCCAACAAGCAATTCAGCACGAAAACAAGCACCGTGGCCGCTGGCTTAAGAAATAGATTATTATAAGAATAATCGATTATGGTTGGTCCATTTCTTACTGCTTACGCTTACAACCTTATTCTTGCAGCCATTGTAGATGGGCCTTTAAGGTCATTACGTATCATACAATACGTGTCATAAGTTGTAACACGTATTGTAGAATGACCTTTAGTTACAAAATGTTATTTTCGGTCGTAAGATTGTGGTTACTAAAAGAGAGTTACCCAACTTTTAACTTCTTGGTAACTGCAACCGGCAATCGCAACTGTTTCTTACAACCGAAAATAACACTTTGTAACTAATAGTTGCCATCCTTTGCAACTCGCAACTGGGTGTTTGCAACTTGGGCTGCGTTCCGATATTCACTGCCAGTATTGAATATACTTTATGTCTATATATACTATATACTTTATGTCACATATAATATAGATTTTCAGTACTGGCAGTGAATATCGGAACGCAGCCCTATTCTGGATCGGGCTTAAGACGTAAACAGTAAGCAAATCAACCAATCACAATCGAAACTTAAAGACGCCATTTAAAACTTACGAGAATAATTGATTGTGATTGGTTTCTTTATTACTTATGTCTTACTGCTTACGTTCATTTGTGTGTGATGGCAGTAAGCATTAAGCAGTAAGAAATAAGCGTGAACAGTATGAGAAGAAATGGATCAACTATAATTGATTATTCTTGTCATAATCGATTGTGGTTGGTTTATTTCTTACCGCTTATGCTTAACGGTGATTTAAACTAGCGGCACACGGTGCTTGTTTTCATGCTGGATTGCTTGCTGGATGAAAATACTGCGTTCTGATTGGTGCATTTCCATCCATCTTCGGAAATGCACCAATCAGAACGCAGTATTTTCATCCAGCAAGCAATCCAGCATGAAAACAAGCACCGTGTGCCGCTGGCTTTACACGATGCTGCTTTTATTCGCTTTGAGCAAGCTTCTTAAGTCGCCAGCGAATTCGCTGGTGAAAACTTCTAGACGCTCGATTTTTATTCGCTAGCTAGTCTAAAATTTGGAAGACGCAGCGTTTATGGCCTGGTCTACAATATGTGTTGTAAGCTGTAAGCCGTAAGAACTGACCAATTATAGCCGATTATTTTTGTAATAATCGACTGTGATTCGCCAATTCTTATGGCTTACAACTTACGACACGTATTGTAGACCAGTACCGCGATTCTGTAACTCGTTATTGGAGTTAACGACAGTTTCGTTATCGTTGCGCAGCTTTTCTACGGTATACAAAAGCTGCGCAACGATAACGAAAGTGTCGTTAACTCCAATAACGAGTTACAGAATCGCGGTACAGGCTTATCAGTCACTGTGGCAAAGTTGTACTTTTACCGCTCGCGTTAAGCGACATTGAACTGTCTTTTTTCTGTATAAGCGGATGCACCTTTTTCAAAAGTTCTTCAAATTTCTCGCATGTTAATCGCAATACTTTACGGTATGCAGTTGGATCCTCCAATGCCAATTCTTTGAACAGATTATTTGATGCTCCATGAGTTCAGCTAGCTAGTTAAGCTATCTTTCTCGAGTCGGGATGCATCCCAAAAGTCATTAAAAAAAAAGTAACAACCTTTATGTCCGCGATCGTACAGGACCATATCCGACCGCCACGGAAGTGAACAAAAGACTCTCTTGGGACTAAAGCGTGAAGCACACACTCTTAAGCCCCGTCTACATAACTCGCAAACCGCAAATGCAGGTCGCAGACGCACAAGATACGCAAAATGCACTCGCAGTTCGCAAATCACGTCGCGGAGCGAGTGTCCACAATGGGTCATTCAGTACTACAACCGCTCGCTGAGCGCTAAGTGAGCTCTTGCATCTGATTGGTATATACCTTTAGATTTAAAAATATACACCAATCAGATGCAAGAGCTCACTTAGCGCTCAGTGAGCGGTTGTAGTACTGAATACACCCATTGAACGCGAAAGTGGTACGCAGCATATTAAAGGTTATATTTGTGTCTATGATGGATCAACATGATCTGTGTCTTATATATTTGGTTTTGACATTAAATGCAACAGCAATAAATTTATGTCAACTTACGGCAAAATAAAGACGAAGATGGTGGGTTAGACCTATAAATCGAACTCGTCAAAAACATTTCCTTATTTTTTGCATATAAGCCATCATTGTGATATACTAATGTAATTAATTGATGTGTTCTTTCAGTTGTCCAATAAATATTTTCGTCCATAATTTCAATATAATACGCGAATTTATACAAAAAACAAACCACAAAATAAGTCCGGCTTGTTTTTTTGACAATTCGGTCGATGACAATAACTTCACATTCTCCGAAATATATTAGCTATGATTGGTTAACGCAATCAAGACGCAACCGCAGGAACAACGTAATCGCAGAAAGTTAAAATTGAACCAACTCGTGACGCAAAGCGCAAGTACGACTGCGTATGCCTTGCGTGCGCTGATACGTCATATTGCGTCTGCGTGTGCGACCTGCGTTCTGCGAGTTATAGACGGGGCTTTACATAAAGGCATAATGCACAACACATAAGGAAATGGACCAATCAGAGTCTTTCATTTCAAGCGTGGCAATAGAAATGAGAATTCTGATTAGTTTATTTCCTTATGCGTTGTGCATTACGCCTTTATAAGAGTGTGTGCTTCCCGCTTTATGGATATTTGTCTTAACCTGCTCCATGGCCAGTATTCATAGTCAGATCTTATATTTAAGACTGTCTTAAGTTTATCTTCAGGTGCTGTACAAATCATTTTATTGACTATGGAGTATCTGAAAGTGAACTTAAAACGGTCTTAAATATAAGACCTAACTATGAATATCGGCCTAAGTCTCTACTAGCTCTGCAACATTAGTTATGAGACATCCTGTATATTCTTATGTCCATGATAATATCAGATAATTTAGCTGATCTTCATAAACACGTAAATCACATTGAGAGAAAAGACGCCAGAGGTCGTTCACCACTTACCACTGACAGATAAACTAATAATAAGTTTCAAATTAATTAATTGTTATGGATGAATTCCATATTTTCTTGATTACAAAAAATTTATATATCTTTTAATTGATTTTTTGAAAGCCAATTATACTTTCCTCAACATCGCCCATTTCTAGCATGCGATTTATGATGGAAAGTGGTGCTCGAATGATAACTAGCGATATTCGTCAACAAGTGACCAATGGAGAACAAGCGATGGTCGTGGTAGGCCACTTCCGTGTGTGGATTTCCTACGGTACTGTTCGTTTCATCAAGAGATTGTTTACAAATGCAATGCGTGAGTATTTGTACGGTACACGGTGATGTAAAAGCGTGAATAATTGTGTGTGTACAGACGCAGTAGCAGCAACCAGCAGCAACAGCAGCAGCAATAGTATCCACTCGTCATTAATTCGCATCCGATTGCTCATTGAGGGATGTGCACGTCACCGCGCATTCCTCTCGTGCTCGTCGTCGCGCACGCCTCGACGCGATAGCCCGCGAAGTCGCGCGCGGCGTACGTCGTATACAACACCGTGACCCACTTGTTGCGTCTAGGTTATGGTGTTATAAACAAAAATATGCTGCGCACAGACGCATTCAGTCGTATGACTGTCCATTCGTGAATTAGTGCACGAAGCACAGGGCATGGAGGCGGGCCCGGGGCTGAGCCTGTTCCAAGGCTCGGACAATATACAGCTGAACGGAGCGACACAGGATCGCGAAGAGGATGAGGAGCAGGAGGATATCAAACGGCGTGAGAAGGAGGTACGTCATAATTATGTCTGCGAGACACCCGCATTTTATTTGCGTGAAAGAATCTCCCGGTACATCTCGCGTGTCGAACTGTGACATGCAATAGACAAACGAAAGGGTTTTGTGTAACCCTACTACAGGTTATAGGATTTTGCCGCGCAGAAATTTTACAAATACTCCCCCCTCCTCCCTCTCTCTATATATATATATATATATATAAATTGTGTGTGTGTGTGTGTGTGTGTGTATGCGTGTGTGTCGCGCGCGCGCGTGTTAATTACAATCTGCAATATAGGTGGATAAAGAATTTATAAGGTCCACTGCATAGGATTTTGCTGTTTAAACACATTTTATGATATATATGATACGTTTTCTACACTGGAAAAATAATCTGCAAAGTCCACTGTGTAGAATTTCTTTTCTAGGCAATGTGTTATCACATCAAGTTGTCTGTAATAAATAAAAATATATATGAGATATATACATATATATATATACACATACATATATATGCATGAAAAAATTATAAGAATCTCCTACAAAAAACATACTGAGAATTGCAATATGTTAATATTTCCTGCAATGACAAAATAATGTATTAAATTTATAGTAAAGTATATAATTTCTTTGTAGAGAACTTTTATATAGCACGTATTTTGTAATAAGAAGAAATATTTTGAAAGTATGCAGAATATTCCTACAATGATGCATGTGTTGTTATTGTTTCTATAGATCCAAAATCGCATGGAAAATGTATTTGCTGATCTGGAGAATGATAATGATGCCAGTTTTACCGATAGTAATTACTATCAGGACAGTGTCAAAGATACTGATTGTACCAATGCAATGATCAGCTGTAGCCTGCAATTGGTTACACCTGCCAAAAATCAGGCGGTAGCACAATCGCAGAATGATTTTGGTGTTTATAATAGCGTGGAAAATCTAAATAATTATGATCTTAATGTGATAACAAATCACAGGTCAGATGCAGATTCTGACGCAGGTGTTGGTAGTAGTGGTGATGCCGGGGGAATGATACAAACTGATATAACATCTGAATTTGGCTTATATAGACAAGCAGAGACTCCGTTTGTTAATCATAGATTAAATGACAACAATACTATGTTAGAATCGCCGTACGAATTGACAAAACCCTCGAGTACTGAGTATACTCACAAGATGTATCATAAGCAGGTTGAAGAATGCACATTCAGCGAAAATTACCCCTACAACTATGAAACACCATCAAGTCACTATAATACACATCCGAAGAAATATTCGAACAACGGTTTCGTGGATAGATATCAGAATAATGTACAAAACAAACAAACTCACGAGTTCGGAGGAGGCGACAATGCTACCTCAGATCATATGAATCACTGCTATAAGACTAGCCCGAACGGCAGGCCAATGGACGACAATATAGCGTACAAAACTGCTGAATACAACAGTAAAGAGCAATTGGAAGTAATGTACATGATCAGGATGAGAGAGATTGAACGCTTGAAGGAGGAGCTACAGCAGTTGCAGATGGAAAAAGAGGATGAGAAAAATCAGCTGGACAGAAAATTGATGCTATTACAAACAGAGATCAACAGAACAAACATCTCCAAGAATGAAGCGCAACAAGTGCTCGGTAAGGATTAAGAAGAAAATTTATTTAAAAATATATAAAAATATCGATATTAATAAATCAGATATTGTTGAGTCATCAAAGTAGTCTTAATTGCTTTGCCCGTTTAATATAAAGTTGAAGTAATCACAGAGAGTTAATACGACGCGCGCGCGCGGCACCAAAATCTATTATGAAATCGATGATAGAACATCTTAGAGATTTATAGTCATAATATTTTAGTTGATGCCAAGGCTGACATAGCTGATCTGCAAATACAAATGGAATCTCTGAAAGAAAGGAACGCAGTCTTGGAGAAGACGAATCAAAATGTAAAATAACATTGTTGTGTCTTATTCCGATTGACGTCCGATATTCTGGCGTTCATCAACATCGTTTTTACAGGTGACAGAAGAATTGAATATCGCGAGGAGTTCCGTTATGGATCTGCAACAGAAAATTTCTATACTGGAAAGATCACAGGCGTTGCAGACGAATGACAAGATGCATGAGAAGTTTTTGAAACAAGCCCAAGAAAAGCACGCGGTTGAAATGAGAAATATGCAGACGCAAATAGACGTTCTTACGGACAAGTTAAACGCCAAGGTATTGTTGAAACAATATTTCGTTTCAGTCGTGTGTAATATTTTACACACATATTTTCTCTAAAATTATGTTTGTCATAGCTGCATAATATGGATACCAGCAACGATAGTATTTGGGCAAGTCTCTATCGGTTTTTCTTTGCATTTCTTTGTCAAATCATATTTACGATAGCTTTTTATACAATATATCCTTTTATATAAATATAAATAATTTTCCGCTTGCACATGCACGCGCGCGCGCGCGCACACCACACACACACACACACACACACACACACACACACACACACACACACACACACACACACGTGCGCGCGTGCATGTATGTAACTCTCCCGTAATACGCATATGCACTCAAAAGATATACGATATAATAAAATTGTAAACTTAGTCATTTGATAAATATCGCTTTGCATATTTAATATGCAATTTGTGGATTTTATTCCTGTGTATCGTTCAACTTATACGTATACAACAGGAAACGTCATATGTCGCCCTTGAGTATAAATTAGATGATGTACGAAGAGCGCACGAGACTCTTATGGTGGAAAAAGGTGACACCATGAATCGATTGACACAAGCATTGGAGAAAAGTCAGGCTCAATGCCGCAGTCTCATGGCCACAAACAGTATTCAGCAAGTGATGCAATTACAAGCGCAGGTGAAAATGTTAAGCCAGGAAAAAGAAGAACTGCACAAGAACGTACATGAGTTACAGGTAGTTGGAAAGATTTTACTACTAATTTTATGTTTTATAGGCAATATATATCATTTGCACAAGAAATTGATTCATAAGCAAGATCCCTGCTACAAAATTGCAGAACAAACTGGAGGTGGCTAAGAACGATGTGGCGCAATGCGATTCGTTGCTCGCTACAACTTTAGAAGACGAATCTGACTCGATTAGGCAGATGAAATTAGGTGATCATAATAAATCAAAATCAAAACCCGCTGACGACATCACGAATAAATTGCGAGGTGAATTACAAAGGTAAATTACCGTATGAAATATATTAAATATCGCATTAATATCCTCCACTTATTGCTGATATAAGCTATGTTACATGTATGTCTCTGCAGGTGTGTAGCTAACCAAGTTTTAAAGAGAAAAGAGATAAATCGTCTGGAAAACACTTTGTCTCAACGAGAGAAAGAGCTAAATAAAGTCACGACAGTGGCCGATTCGTGTCGCCAGGAAGCGGCGCGGTACGCCAAACGAGTTAATGAATTAGAGCAAGAACTGAAGTCTGTATTGACGGACCAGGCTGTAAAAGCGAATGCTCAAATACAAAAATTGTCTGATCACTTGAACGATGTAAAGAAAAAGTATGAATTACTACACGATGAGAAAATTAGTGTAGAACAAAGATTGGAGGAAGCTTTAGCTGTTAATCAAGAGAAACTTAAAAAGTTGCATCAAGAGACTATGGAGCAACAAGAGAAGGAAACTGTTGATGAGTATAATAAAGAATACTTGGAGATACATGCTAAAACCGTAGAGAGAATAAAGCAAGATGCGCAAATGGAGATAGTACAATTATCGTAAGTATTTACTATTTTATATATAAATCTTAAACTTTTAATCCTTTCCATAAATTATTAGAAATTGCAATAAGAATTTTAGTATATAGGAGTACGCGCCCATATAAGGTCGTTATGTAAAAATAAAGCTTTTATTCTTAGTGTACAGTTAGAACAAAAGGAAAAGGAATTAGACCATGTAAAAACATTGTACATAGACGTTTGCGGAACAAAGGAGCAGTTAGTAAATGAGCACAAGAACGAGATCAAAGCATTGAAAAGTAAATACACTACGATAGAATCGTATCAAATGAATGTAGAGAAATTGGAGGGCGAACTGCAAACGCAAGTTAAACTGTGTAACAAATTAACCAAGGAATGCGAATCTCTTAAAAGTAAAATAATTGAGCTGGAAAAAGATCTAGCTTATGAAAAAAGAAAGAAGGAGGATCACACGAGAAAAATACATTCCGAAATAGAGAGAGGTAAATATTGAATCGTATGAAACAGAAATATGTCTTGCATAGAAAATAATTTCATTAAATCTCTATTTTAAGCGAAAGAAGAGGCGTTAAGTGAACTAAGAAATGCACACTCGAATCAAGAAATAAAATTTCATCCGCTAGACCATTGTTCTGAACACCTGGAGAAAATCAATCAAGTATAAACAAATTCTTACAAATACATCTTACAAATACAAAAGTTTTATCAGAAGTTGTTGATAATATTTGTGATATTTTAAATTTCTAATTTAGGTTTTACTTTTACACACACACACACACACACACACACACACACACCATAGTTCCACTTTTGTGTGTATGACATTTCGAAAAATATTTTACTTTATTGTAGCTGCAAGAAGATTGCAAACGTTTGGAGGAGAAACTTCAAATCAATATGCAGGAGCAAAAAAAATTATCCGAATATCAAAACGAATTGGATAATGCTAAATTGAAGATAGCGCAGGTAGAAATTTTGCAAGAGTCGTGGAAGAAAAAATATGAGAATTCCGTCAGTGAGAGGAACGATCTTTCAGCTAAAATCTCTAAACAGGATCTGGAATTATCGAATCTGAAACGCACTGCAAAGTTGGAAGACTCAGATGACGTGAAGTTGAAGATTGCACGACTTCAAATGGAGAACGAAACGCTGAAGAGTCGTTGCGACAATCTGCTAGACGAGAAAAACACTTGTAGAGAGAAGATCACCGAACTGGAAACAGAATTGTCCACCACGAGAAAGGAAATCAGCAGCCTAGAGGGTAGGATACAAAAGAGCGGTGACATCTCGGTGAATTCAAAGAACGAATTAGAGAAGGAGCTCTCTCATTACAAGGATTTAGTCGCACAATTCTCCAGGCTGAGTAATTCGAAGGAGAGGCGTATAAATGAATCGGCACTGGAACAGAGGATACAACAACTTGAGCAGGATTTATATGACAAGAACGAGAAACTGAACAGGCTAAAGGATTTCGAAAAAATCAAAGTATCCGATGAGTTGAATATGTCACCTCGTAGCGCAACCGATAGCACGGACTTTCAAAAGATGAAAGAGACCATGACAAAGGAAGTGCGAGAAGAAATGGAACAAAAAGTAGTAAAAGAGCTGAGAGAGATCGGAGACCAGCATCTCGAGAAGAGAAAGGAATTGGAACAAAAGTACAAAACTGTCGTACTAGAATGGCAGACGAAATATAACGAGAAGAATCAAGAGGCGGATACTTTGCGGAAGGGTTTGATAGAGAAAAAGATGACAATCGGCAAGATTAGTGAAGTAAATCAAATTATAAAAAACGAACTGGAGATCCGCAAACGCGAGCTGCAGACGCGCCAGCTACAGATCGAGAGTCTGAAAGAAGATTTAAAACGAAAGGAGAATGAAGTTGAAGAAGAAAAGAACATGATGGCTCAAATGATAACCAGATGGGTCGATGAAATCAAGGAAATTAAAGCTAAGGAAGCAGAGATGAGTCAGGAGATACAAAATTTGAAATCTAAGGAGGAAAAATTAGACAATGAAATTAAAACGCTAAAAGATAAAGAGAAAGATATGAAGAGTGATGTAGATCTATGGAAACATAAGTATGAAGTAGCGAAGAAAACTGCGTATAATTATAAGGTAAGCATGCGAGAAAACCGGTATTTTGGCGTCCAGTCAACCTCTTAGGAAACATATGTTGTGTGATTGTTACAATTCTTACAATTTCAGAATTACGCGAAGCAGAAGAAGGAATTTTTGTCGAATGAATGCAAACGTATCGAGGATGGATACAAAAAGGCCATGTATCAAGTACAACAAAAATGTCAGGCGCAGGAGGAACGATACGTCGCGAAAGTTAAAGAACTTGAGTGTCAGTATACAGAAAAAATGGAACAAATGCGACTTACACTAGTACAAAAATAAATGTTAAAGTACGTATTAAGTATTCTCTCAGTATGCAATATAGCTTCTATTTGGCATTTAGAAACGATTAAAATATAATTACAGAGAGGCTAGGTATTTTTTAATTAAAAAAATTAATTAAAAAAAGCCCTTAATTAAAAAAAAGCACTACATTGTACAACACTATTGTAGCGGAGATTTTACGATAGGGACCAACACACACGCGCGCGCGCGCGCACACACACACACACACACACACACACACACAAACGAAATTTATATTATATCGATAGAATTATTATTACCGCGTTCACCGGCTTCATCCTTCGTCGAAGAAGCGGAATACTAATGTAGTTCTAGAGCTGAACATTTAAAGTACAATTATCTGGTTAATCATCATCCGAGCGTATTAAATAGATAGTAAGATTTATACATTATTATTAACGGAGATGAATGCAATTAATGCTGTAAAAAAGAAAAATAGGAAGAAACCGCTATAATGTTACATCGTAAGTTTATAACGATTACTCTGTAATTAGTCTGTATTTTATATAAAGCGAAAAGATATACACGTATAAACTCATGAACAAAAGGAGAAAGCTTTAGTCACGTATTTCTACCGTGCATTACGACACAATACGATAATGCAAGACTGGATCTCTATTGGGTCTTTCACTCTTTCTTTGCTCATAAAGTAAGAGTAGAGAGAATCTTAAAACATAGACTTTAAGAGAAATGAATCCTCGTCCCTGTACATTAACGAAAATACTATTTTGACATGTCATTGCTATCAAAATTTATCCCTTTGAGTATTTACATTTTATACATACGTCACGTTAAGGAAATCTTTATATCAAGATTGTACAAAATGCAACAACATAAAAACTTGCTCTATGAATATATACAAATTTTCTTAGAGCTAGGCAAAATCTTCAAATTGTATTAAAGATTTTTAGTATGTTAAACAGCAGGACTGAATTAGAATGAAGATCTGCGTTATACTTAATCTTAATGACTTATAAGTGTATATATTTAAATATTTGTAATCATTGCTCTCTCGGGCGCTTGAAGTATCGTAAAGTGTTCGGTATCATCTCTTCATTTATATTATATATATGTAGAAGATTTGATGTGAAGCATCTCTAATCGAACGGAACAGGATATTATAGTTCATGGGTCGTCTCTCAACCTATATTTTGCTTATTTGTTACGCAATTGTGTGCAATCGCCAATTATATACGAAACTTACCGGTATCGACGTATAAGTCGCGAAGTATAATATAAATTAAATATGTCTCTGTATATCTCTATTTAAAATCTTGGTAAGAATATTCGACATATATATTGACACATCGCGCGTGTCGTCCGTTTAAATAAGTAATTATTAATTTACCAGTATCGCTGGATATAGAAAGTATTATTAATATTAATTAGTTATGTATTTTTGTATGTAGAGTGAACTAATTTATTTTTTGTAATAAAGAATTTTATGTCTCTGCCGAAATGTTGTTTCCAATGAAAGATGAAGTAATAATATAGCTCTAAGTGCTTTTAACGTCTCTGCATGTGCGCGTGTGTTATAAGAAGGAAAAATTTGTGAGTGCATTAAAAATTATATTCATAAATACATGACAACTATAAATTAAGTCAACTGCACCTTAAAATAACTACTTAAAGATAACCACTACAAAAATTATATTCGTAACCATGATAGCTACAAACTAAACCGTGCAACTGCACCTTAAAAAGATAAAATAGATTTTAGTATACATACACTCAATTTTATAAAATTAAAATTTTTTAAAATTTTTATAAAATTAAAATTTTATAATTAAATAAAATTTTTATAAAATAAAATAAAATTTTTATAAAATACATTAATACACAAATACACTATATTTTTCAAGGAAATATATTCGATATATTTGTTTTAATACTTAGGACAATCTTTCGGAGTGTATACAGGAAGTCTAATATAATTTTCCACATTTCATATATATTATTTAAGATATTAATTATTTTTATAAATTAAGACAATTCTCAAAATATTATCTTTGAAATTGTAAAATATAGCCTGACATGCGGGAATGAGCGGGAGGAAACGAACGTAATATCGACATCACATAACTGATACAGAATTAGTCTCATCTATCATTCGAGACATTCTGTTAAGAATATGGTGGAAACACAGTAAAATAAAATACGAAGAGATATCACGGAGCATAATGTTGCAGCACGCTTTTTTCCGCGCATGTACGCGAGATACTTTTTCTAAAAAGTATTTAACACGAGGAAAAATGTGCGATAGCATAACAGTTTTGGTGAGTACTTAAATATTCAGGGTGTCGGGGAGGGAATGCAGGCGTAGTTCCCCTGACTCCCCCCATTTCGGTCCGAGCGGTAGGTACCCCGCAGGGGTTTTAGTCGGTAAGAGTCCGACATAACCCCCGACCCCCCCAAGGGTCGGGGGTATCCATGATGGATTTCCCCTGCGTGACCAAAAAAAAAAGTACTTAAATATTACTATTACATAATAATAAACTATAATAAAACAATAAAAATAATAATAATAAATAGATGCTTGTGATAATATATTTATCAATATAAAAATATTATTACTTAAAAAAATATAATCTTTGATCAATTTACATAAGAGATTAATAGTATTTAAAATTTTTTAAATAAATGCTAAAATTGGACAATATAACAATGTTAAACAAAGAATATATATTATATATTGTATTGTCATAAATGCTCAAAGATTATTGTTCCCACGATTTTCATTCATATTTAATACGTTTAAGCTTGAATCAGTTCCGTCTTATTATCTTTTGTAATGAGTTGCAGAAGAGAACCATTGGCAGGCCGATCTTGATTTTGGGACCATTTCCAGAATAGACTGTAGGCACAATTTATTAATTTAAGTACTATTATATGGAGATATATGTATTAATCTAGTATAGAAATATTCGTTTTACTTTGACACAAATTCGAGCGGAGTCCATGTACTTGTATCGGCTTTGGGCATCCACTTTCTGTTCATGGGTGTATCCAGAGTAACAGGTAGTATACAAGTTACCAAACTATTAGCAGGAAGACCGCTTCCTTTATCTACCAAAGACTTTGTCAGTTGATGAACCGCTGCCTTTGCCATACCATAACCAATCATACCTAATCAAATAAAACTAATATTTTAGTAAATGTGAATAAGATAATATAATACATAATACTGCATCTTCTATTTGACAAGAGACCTGGTGTTCCTTCTAATGCTGGTTTAGCACCAGTTAATGAAAGAAATCCTCCTTCTTTCAAGTATTCAGCTGCAATGGTTGCAGCTATAACAGAACTCCAAACGCTCTGTTTCCACATTAAATCGCTGTTTTTCACAAAATCTTTATTTGCTGCATTGCCACCAGCCCATCCTCCAGCAACACAAATAATGCCATCAATTTTCTCATCCTTCAATGTATCTCTAACTTGAGTTAGAATATCTGTTTGCTATATGATAAGAATATGACAATAAATATTTTTCTGTATATTTTCTCTTTATCTCTCATATTTATATTCTCATAAGAATCTCCTAAATAGAAAAAAGAATTACCTGCTTTTGCCAATCATACTCAGGATTTACAATCATATTCATATCAGCTTGTTCATTTGGCTTCATATCAATAGAACCAACCCACTAAAAATCATAAGACTAAATGATGTATATTACTAAAATATTAAGAAATATTGCTAATATAGCATATCATAAGCAAATTTATCCTTTTCTTTACAATTATTAATGTCATTATATATGTGTATGTGTATGTATATATGTGTATATGTGTATGTATGTGTGTGTGTATGTGCATGTGTATGTTAATAAAACTCAAAAATATTATAATTTACAATTTAATTCAATGATACATTGACAAGTATTTACTTGTACAAATTTTTTTATCATAAAGGATATAAAATAAATACATGATGAATATTTAGACTTTGGTCTATAAAAAGCAAAATTGATTTAAAATATGTGTTCAGTATAGATATATCATAGTATCTATATATAGTATATCTATAGTATAGTATATCTGAAAAACATTTATGTGAAAGTCTTGCTTGACTACTAGTAGCAACCTTGGTTTGTAATTTTATGCAATGTCTTTCATATTACCTACTTATCCAAGAGAGAAATAATCTCTTACATAAAAGTACTTATTTTCAATATATCTTATTTTAAGCCAATAATTGCTCCAATATATAAGTACTATTATTTAAAATGAATATAAATATTTAGTAAATTTATATTAAGGATTAATAACGGTATAATTAAAAAAATAAATGCTAATCATACAATATAACAAAGTCAGACAAATTATTAATAAAAATAGTTAATAATACTTTTGTATCTTATATTGTTTAACATGAATTATTTAATAATATTTTACTCTATATTATCTGTGTGATATTATTTTCATTCTTGCGTATCACACACTCACACTCCACACCATGCGTGCGCACATAAGCGCGTATACACACAATGTATGTATGATGCATGTATGTGCGCACACGTATCATACACACAAATACAGCTATTTAATGAAATATCTTGAAATACTGAGTAACATAAAGTGGAAATTTTATAATCGAGTTTTATGCAATATATTGATAAGAGCTGTAGGTCGATAAAGACCGAGTGATTAATAGTACTGTATTAAATATAAGGATAATGACACACTCACGAGTTCTGTTACTCACCCAATTTTGCAATTTAAATTGAGATATACAAACTGAGCCAAGGGCACCCTTACCCCCATATACAATCACACGTCCGTGTACTGTGGCCATTGTTCAATAAGTGATATAATTTTGTAAGATCTGATCCGGAATTTCGCGACCGTCGACGGAACGATACGAGTGCGTACGGAGCAGCTTTCGGAAAATTTCGTGAAAGGAATGCTAGATTGCCAGATCTTGTCATGAACTATATGTATTTATAGATTGCTGTCCGATTATTTTATTACATTGAAACTGCCACTAGATGGAGCATACTTCATCTAAATCGAAAGTATTTGAAATCATGTCTAATAATAAGTCTGTTCGTTTTCGCAGAACTTCTGAACTAGTACAATAAGTTAGAGCGAAATATGTATATTTTCTTTCACTTCAACTTATTGCATTAGTGTGTACTAATTCAGAAGTTTTTCACAAACGAACGGACGTAATAATAAAAGAACTTCACTAATCGTGTTAGAATGTGAGACAATAGTTGTTCATACTTTACTCGACCACTGGCCAATCAAGTGAATAATAAAGTAAATATATTTGAGATTACACAACACACATGTGTTTTTAATAAAAGTCGAGAACACATTTCATTGAAATATCAATCATCGCATTGTTAACGATATCTAACACCAAAGCTGTTTATTTTCCATTTTATCATGAAAATTCTATTTCTTCATATTATTATGTCTTGTTAGCTTTTACTAATATTTATATTAATTAAAGTTTCATATTTATTATATTTTTTTAACAATATTACGAGCACGTTGCATTTTTATCATGCAAAGTTTTGTAAATTATATTCTGAAAATATATTATAAAAATGAGAGAGCTTTAGCAGAGAAAGACAGAGACAGAGAGAGAGAGAGAGAGAGAGAGAGAGAGAGAGAGAGAGAGAGAGAGAGAGAGAAAGGAGAGTGAGAGGAGGGGAGGGGGAAAGAGAAAGAATCACGGCATTATCGTTCTTTGGTTTGCGTGAATATTTCGAATCTTGCAATCGAATCGCATCGCTGCAATACGCAATGTGCAACTGACAAATAATTATTCTTGCAATCTGCTGTCAAAATTACACGAATTTGTATCTCCCGCGAGCAGTAGCGTCGATACGCGGCAACGTCGCGTCGTGTGCGGCGACAAGCAGATTGCGAAGAGGAACACGCAGCAACGTTCACCAACGTTCACCGGGAGCGTAGGTAGGTCGTCTAGTGTGACGTCACGTCGTCAGTCTAGTTGGGTTAGGTTTTACGCTGAAAATTCTAACGACAAATTTTTTGTTTGACGATTGATGTTTTCGCCGTCGTGTACATCGTACTGAGCGACGCGAGCAGTTCACGCAGGTGATTGACGGCCAGCAGTCGCGCTCGAGCAGATCGTACGATCGCGAGTGGTCCGCGCTGCATCGACGATATATGAGATTTTAAACGGAAAATGAGTCGACATGAAGGTACGTACGTACGTGTGCTGCGCCTGATCGGCAGCGGAGTCGACGGTACCGTGAGGATCGACAGCCGCGGAAAATTACGCCGGGCCGTCACCGTGAGAGATGGTGCGCGGCCCCGCGGGGCCCGTCGGGCATGTGAGAGCGTACCACCGGGAGTCCGTGGGGACTCGTTACGGTGGCCGCGGAACGGATCAGGCCGCAGGTAGATCCCTTTAATACGGGACACATCCCGCGAGTCTCCGTAGCCGAGGGAGACCTAATGTCAGAGGCCAGATGGCAGCACGGCACGAAAATTCATGCCAATTTCTGTGAATTTGCGACGTTTTGCACGACGATATCCTCGGAGAATCGCGCGCTCTCGCATCCTCGCCACCTCGTAGCTGCTGTCCGATCGTCGGCCAGCGTGTCTGATCAGCTGTCAGATTATTCTACCAGCTGACTCAGCTATCTTAGAATCATCTCCTGGCACTCATCCCTCACCTACTCCTGATGATGACTCTTCCTCGGCAGAACATATTGGAAGCTTTTTCCATTGTTACTACAGCTTTCTCGCATGAGACTATTTATGCAGACAGTTAAACAAACACTCGTACAGCAATCTGTGTGTTTGTGTAGGTTTTCCCTTCGTTGTCTTCTTAAGATCACAACATCGCTGGTTAATTTGTATCATCAAAATAATGCTGCTTTGTACGAGTTATGTTGCACTCGAGTGAGACTGTAATTAACGGAGTAATTTATATCTTGCATACTTTTATAATCTATTGAGGAATCTATGCTCCAGGCATAAATTATCAGAAACTTGTATTCCTTGAAAAACATCTAATGATACATCTTACTTTTGTTATATAATTGTTATTCCTACATATAATATAGAAATAATAGAGTATAGTTTGTACTCTCTATCTCTTAAGAATTCTAGTGTACATTAGGCATTATTATGTCGTTATTTGCAATTTGTTGTATTTGCAGTTGTAAATTAAATATTGCAAATATTATATGGATATTAGTTATCAATAAACAAGTTGAAAGTTGACCGGTTACTCGCCATAAATATATTGAGAAGACAGGTCTACTTTTCATTAATTTAAATTAGTTAATTTAAATTAGTTATTGTTAGTTTGTCTAAATTAGTTATTCAAATAACATATATTGTCTTAAATTTTCCTTTCTATTATTGCAAGACTATGACTCGCTTTGCTGCATGCTGCTATTTATAGTTTTTATAGTCATCTGACTTCTAATGTAGTAATTCCTTATTGGCAAGTTTGGAGTATTTTCCAATTCCTGCCTCATATAATATAATTAATAAACATAGATTGTTATAAATATTAAAACATTTATTTTAATTGTATATTCAGAATTAAAGAAGTCTCAATGTTCTGTATTTTATGTATTAAAGTTGCTGCTAATGGTTTAGAAATTCTATCTAATAATTTGACATATCCATCTGAAAGACTTATTAATGATACCCTGTTTAGCTACTGTTTTGGAATTATTTAAAAGTTGTAATTTGAGATATATTAACAAAACCCTATGTAAGATAAAAAATTGTCTTTAATGATTAGTGCGTCATGAAATATAATGTGAAATCAGAGCAATATCTAAAAATCATAAGATTTGGAAGAGTATTATATCCTGCTGTTGTATATTTGTATGCTTATATCGATATTGACTTGATATATTTATTCCAGGAGTAAGCTGCGATTCCTGCTTGAAAGGCAATTTTGAAGGTCGTAGATACAAGTGCCTGGTATGCTACGATTATGATCTATGTGCCAGCTGCTACGAGGGAGGCGCCAGTACTACACGCCACCTCACAGATCATCCTATGCAGTGCATACTTACCAGATCTGACTTTGGTGAGGCACTTGCTGTCAGAATTACAATATAATATAACATTTCCTTTGTTGAAAATGACAGTGAATCTTGCAGAAAATAATACTAAAAATATCATTAACATGTTTTAAGTACTGACATTATAAACAAGTAATATTAATCCTAGCGCAAGATATTAATTAATGTAAGCATCTGAAAATAATAAATTTTGTCAAATTAAGCTTTATAAAAAATGATCGATCAGTATGTCTTTTAATCAAGATTTATAGATATTCATAAAGAAAAGATATTGTACAATTTATTTAAGTAATATGATTATACGTTCTAATAATTATAGATGAAGGAAATTGTGCATTTGTTAAAAATTTTTTAATGTATTTTCAATTATTGATTTTTCAATAGAATTATATTATGGTGGCGAAGGAGTGAGTGTGGAACAACCTCAATCTTTGACTTGCCCGTACTGTACAAGAATGGGTTTCACCGAAGCTACATTACAAGAACATGTGGCTGCTGATCATCCCGATACCTCGTTTGAAGTTGTACGTAAAAAGAGAAAAAGAGAGAAAGAGAGATGACTAATTCTCTATTTATCTTTATTATTAGTAATTTAATATTTGAGTATATAATGCTATATAAATATGTATAATAACTATTGTGTTTTCGTCACAGGTATGTCCAGTTTGTGCAGCAGTGCCAGGTGGAGATCCCAATCATGTAACTGATGATTTTGCTGGTCACTTGACATTAGAGCATCGAAGTGGACCAAGGGATTTGATTTCCTTTTTAGATGATCCTTCAGCAGGTAGACATGTTAGGCGGATACCACATCCGTCCAGAGCTGTTGGTGCACCACGTGCGCGTAGGTATGTGAAAAAGAAAAAAAACTGTTGATGCTTCTCAAATAATTTATTCACCTATCAACGTTAATATTTTACCGGAACCGGAGACTCAAATTAACGTTTATGTAACCACCAAACTTGCAGACATCAGTTTTAAAACTATTAATATATGTGATATTTATAGAACATACATTTTCTACAAATTTATTTATATATATATATATCTCACAGTATCAAAATAATTTTTTCAAGATTTCATAATTATCGTATGTTATATTGTGCGTGCATGCGCGCACGCATGTGTGTAGTGTGTATGTCATGTGATCATATATGTCATATGTAACTGTTACATTACATCTATAAGTATTACTTTTTTGAATTGCCAAGATCTTTTTTCTTTTTTTAATAGTGTTATTCACAATATAACATTAAAATAATGAATACAGGCTTTCGCCGCTTAACGTCAGTTAATATTTTTACTCCATAATACTTTTTGATTTTGATTTTGTACACAACTTTAACGTTCAAAATTTTACTACAGCTTTAACGTCCAAAATTTTACTACAATGTTCAATTTGGCTGACTCAGTCAGTTGCCAATAAGTATATAACTTATAGCCTTTGGCGAATATTCCTTTTATGTAATTACTTTTTTAGTTTTTATTAACCATCAGAAAAATTTCTTCTTTTGCTAGTTTTTGTTTTATCTTCCTCCTTTCCTTTTTCTTCTTCTTTTCCTTTTTCTTTCTCATTTCTCTTTGATCATGTCACATAGTAAATGTTTGTTGCATTACTTATTCGTTTCTATAACTGTATCAATGCCTATATTTTATTAACACACATCAACACTACCCTAAACCTTATGAATATTTTTTATATTTCAGATATTTATTAACGACTGTTTATTACTGACCTGTTGAAAATAAGTTGATAATAGAACACATATACTTTTTTTCGTTGCAATAAATGTAGATTCTCTATTTACATAATGTCTATTAAAGCTGGGATTTTTAGGAACAAATTATCGACGTCAAGCGAAAATGTCTGTATTTCTTTTGAAAAAAGTACCGGATTTTAGAGTTAAATTAAAATAACTTTGACATCCAGAATGTCTTTATTGTGATTTTTATAATCGTGTAAAGTATTGTATATGAAAATATATCAAAATTAATATTCATCATCACCTCATCTTAGATAATGTTCATTGGAGTATCATTGGACCTGCAGGTCCAACATGCATTTCAGTTCATCTGGAGGATTGAGCCCAAGTAGTCGAGAAGGTATAGATCCGATTGCAGAATTATTGTCTCAATTATCGGGTGTACGTAGGAGTGGAGGTGGAAGTGGACAGAGTTCCTCGGCACCTACGCAACTACAGCAATTGCAAATGCAATTGCAAATAGAACGGCAACAAGTTCGGGTACGAATAAATTTTATATTTTACTAAAGAAAAAATCTGAAAGTCTAATGTTCCTTTTATGACCATTCGTTGAATCACATGTATGTGTATATATATATTCATATTTGATTCTAAATACTGGATGATTGATCCTTCTGTCAAAATGTACGATTCTGTCAAATGTACTTGAATAACTATTTTAAATTACGCGCGATTTCTCGAATGTGTAAAAACATTCTATTGATATAGAGCAAATATACAAAGGTTCTTTATTGTTCGAAGATAATAAAAAAATCAATGCGATAGAAAATTTTGGAAATGACATAAGAAAAACATGTTCAAGACTTGGTCCGAAGTTTGTTTGCTGTAACGTCGTTTTCGCAATGTGTTAAAGTATCCAGGTACTTAATGCATTGATAAGAAGATGACAAATTTTATACATATATATATACATATATATATATATGTATGTATGTATATATGTATATATATATGTATGTATGTATTGCATCCATAGAAGATATAATAATTCTGGGGATACATTTTTGGGATAATTATTAAAAGTTATTAGAAGAGGATAGTTATTAAAATGGGGATTATTTCTAGGCTGCTAGACAACAACTCGAACGATTACCTAGGAGGCAGACTCAAGTGATCGGTTCAGTGAGTGGCAGTGGAGGTAGTAGCGGCGGTCATTCTACTACAATGGCTAGTGTGGTGGCGAATAGTACGAGTAGTAACAATAACGCGACCAATGTGGCCAACCCGTCCGGTGTGTCTTCTACTAATTCGCAGAATTTTACGTTCCTGTTACCCAGGTATGTCTCCCTAATATATCTTTATGAATATTTCAGATTGTGGCAAGTAGAATGGACTTTTTAATCGACATTAATGTAAATGTACCTCTTTTTGCAAAAATATTTTGATTGTTATATTTTACGAATAATGTAATAGGTACAAATGTTATATGAGAAAGATTGTCAAACAGAAAGTGTAAAGTATTGTAAAGATATACATAATTTGATCGAATATAGAATTAAATTCTCCAAAGGGCAAAAATTCAAACTTTACAAATAATTTAACAAAAAAGTAATATCATCTCTATATCGGAAATTAGGATCTTTTGTTCAATCAATTGTTATAAATGTACACATATATTTGTACAGTTAATTTTCAGTGCATCTCTGCAGGATATCAATTTGTAGATCTTAAAATATTTGAAGTAAAAAAATGTGAAGAAAGATGAATACAAGATAGATAGTTGCTTAAATGTTTGCCGATATAACTTTGTGTTTTACTTTTATATTTGCTGATTTTTTTCTGTCCACTTGAATGTATAACGTTTTTATGTATACAAAAGTGAAGTTGACCTTGAAATAACACTAATGTCTTTTATGCAAGAAATAATAATACCAAAGTTATTCTTTTTTTGATGCTCTTCAATTTTTACTTAAAGAAATTTTTTTTATAAATCTTCATTTTCTTTTTAATATTTGATTAGTTTGTTTAAAATTGTTCACTCTACATGTCACTTGAGACAATTGCTTAGGTGTTATAAACTATTGCCAAAAACTGTGTTATAAATACCCAAGTACTTATTTTTGGCAATACATCGCTTCAAGGTGTAATTGATCATATATTTTCTTAACGTATATTGTCACATGCGCAGTTAAAAAGTTAAATATCCACACACACGATTAAAGCGAGTTATACAGTCAGGGTGGGATAAGCACTGTAAAATATTTGATAAAGATGATTGCTCCTCTCCACATTTGTGCAGATGCATTACAACCACACTGTCTGATTCACAACTGCAAAATATCGAACGCGAAAGTGCAAATAGGAGCCTTTTTGCACGTGAACTTATTGTTGGAACACTTTCCCAAACATTGTCAGAGTTGCTTCAACAGCAGTGTACCGTGCAAACGCCGGCATCAAGTGCAACTACTGCCACGACCAGTCCCGAAACACCAAACGCTAATACTTCCATTGTCTCCACGAAAAAATTGAGTTTAGCTCAGGAAGCAAAGAGGGATCAAACGACGAATAAACATGTAACACAAGCGTCTGCGCAGCAACAATCACAAACAATTCTACAAGCTGCTGCTGCTGCAGCCGTTGCTGCCGGCAGTGTAGGCTCTGCCCTACAAAATCAGGGTTTATCCCCAAATTCTAACAGCATTGCAACGCAAAATTCACCTATAGTTCAAACATTGATGCATAGTGTGTTACCTCAGCCATTGGTAAGTGTTCATCTCTTTTTTCAATTTAATACAACAATTACGATTTGAAATATTCGCTATTTTAATCTAAATTAAAAGCATAATGAATGGACAAGAGCCACAAATGAAATATATTATATATGTATTTAATGTAATATATTATATACTTAGTATATCTAATATATTATATTTCATGCGATATATTATTCAATTTACAATTGTAATCAATTTACAATTGTATTTAATTATAATGTATCACATTTATAATATTTAGAACTCGATGTAGCTCGACTTAGAAACAAATAGTGTGTTATGTGATGCTTAGTTTCTCATTTATCAAGCTTCAATTGGCAATCATCGTACGCAATATTGGCTGAGAAATTTTTCTTTCGTTTCAGCGCTATTACGAATTACTAAATATGCTACATCTAATCCCAGATGGCAATTAGCACGCAGTGGCAAATCATAGAATAGAACACAACATCTCAATATTGAAAACATAATAGAGTTTCGTGTGGCACGCAGGTCTTGCAGCAACCACTGCCGCCTCCAATTAGGAATACCGGTACTGGGACAATCCGAGAACCGATAGCAGCTCCAGCACCCGCTTATCTCAGAGGTGGAGTGGGTTCAGTTGGAGTGACAGGCTCTTCACGTAGGAAGCCGGTTAGGGCTGTAGACGGCAGAAACCAATCCACGGAACCACCGCCCCCTCACTAACCCCTCCTTAGTCTGTACCTATCCACCCTGATTCCTCACAGGACCCCCTAGCACTAGTCCTAGCACTGTTTAGAACACCTCATCATTATTGTTATTATTATAATATTATATATTAATAATTATTCAAACGCCCTCTCTCCTCTTCATCCACATGCCGTACTACTTTCCGAACTTTAATCTCGCCATCTTTGCTGTTACGTGACATGGAACAAGGGCAAGGGCTAATTCGTCGTTGGCATATTGCGAATAATAATAATAATAATAATAATAATAATAATAATAATGTACATAATTTCTCACACCTCTTGCGGTCATGCTCGGAATATACAGTTCGTTCGCGTGTAATACTCCCTTCGGATGAGTCTTGCCACGTTCTTCCACGCTGACACGCTACACACGATATGACATTCTACTATCTATTCGCTGAGACACGCGCGCGAAAACAGGCGTTTGCAAGCAAACGTACTGTACGTAAATGGTAAATTCTTGTAAAGGCGAAGCGGTATTAGCGTTTTCACTATTTGGTTTATCGTGTCGAAGAATAGAACGAACACGCGAGAGTGACTTGTGATCCGGAAAAAAAAAACTGAACGAAGAACCAAATTTTTTTTTCTAAATCGTACTGTATACGTTATACATGTTTGTTGTCACGAGAGACAAATGAAGTACGAGGGTTTCATTGACACTTACACGCGGCGTAAATTATAATATATCGAACAATCAACCGCTAATGTATCGAGCGCTTTAAACGCAACACGTGTTCCCTCTTCACAAATAAAGATACACGAACGTGAAATTGCCCGGGTTGGTCCGTAATACTAACGCTTAAATGGTCCTAAACCTTCAGATAACTTCTCCGGCGCACTAATAGTGGAAAATGGTACACGAGAAATAATTATTACACACAGATAAATGAAAAATGTCGTGAATGATATAACGATGCAGAACAACGATGCTGCATATTTTTCAGACGACTATTTAGAATATAATTCTCGTTATAGTAGACTCCTGTATGCTTTACAATCAATAAATCATTAGTACAATGTACAAGAAAATGAATCACCCGTAATCTGTATAAACTTGTGTTATTTTTTAATTTAGTTTAGGTGGATTATATGCTAACGTGCAGTGGCACTTCGTGTATTCAAAGTAAAAATAAAAAGGTTCACGAAGAACAAGTATGTTCAAGATAAATGTTCAAGATAATATGCGTTAAAACTACTCTTTAAATGTACACTTAAGTAAATCGAACTTGTGTGTGATGTTATTTAATAAACTGGCATCAGCGGACCATCCCTCGGCATATTTACGCCGCAGAAAAAATGGTGTCATAAAATGGAGAGATTATATTTAACAATTATAAATTAATATTTCGCAAAATATACCTAATCTGACGCTTATATTAAACGAAATATTTAATGATTGAATCACTAATATTTAAATACTCTGTTTAATAATTATTTTTCAGATTCTTATATATTGCGATATAATTGTACATTATGATTACAGTTAATTGTGGAATAAAGTTTCATTTAACATTAAAGTTGATATAAATATACATATATATACATATACACATACATATACATATATACATACATACATATATATATATATATATGTAGAGAGAGAGAGAGAGAGAGAGAGAGGAGAGAGAGAGAGAGAGAGAGAGATACACACACATACATATTTATGTATATATGTATGTATGTACGTGTGTGTTAAATTTATAATCACTCCATTTTAAGACATTTTTTAAATAATTATAGTAACACACATTGTATGCGTTTTTTCTCTTTCAAAACCATACTTGGAATGTATATTTACTTGTTTATATATATAAGGAATATAAGATAAAATCTTTCACATCGTGAATCAGTCAGAGTAAACTCTTGATTCTTGTTTAAATTTCATCGAAAGCTTCCAAGTATACATTTTATATTTTTGAGTACTAATATATATTTACTTATTTCTTCTAATACGCAAAAAAGGAAACGCCACGTTAACACTACATCGGAATGTGCGTGTTACGCATTCAGATGCATTTGTGAAGTTTCTGCTGGGAGTAGATTTGAAAGATGCTCGTATTTACAAGCGTTATTTGTTTCTCTCTCCGAGTACCATTTTCTTCTCTTCTCTTTTTCTTGCATGGTTATTGTCGCATGTATAATCTGTCGTGCCGTTAATTCTCTTTCCAAATTGTATTCTCAAGATGCGATTATGCAAACTATGTAGCTTCTTATAAGAAGGAAAAAAAGAAGAAAAAATGCACGAAAATCGCGTGTATTGTATATAAATGCGTAAATTTACATGAAGATGAAATATGTTATATGTTTAATACGTAAATCTGTTGTGTTAAATAGTATGAACTTCGGAACTTGACCGTGCGTCTTACTTTTTACATGCAAAATTAATGTACTTCGAAATCCAATCGAATAGGAAAACAAATCGTAAAGAATACGCGTTTGAACTTTTCATTGTCGTGCTCCTCTCTCTCTCTCTCTCTCTCTCTGTCTCTCTCTCTCTCTCTCTCTCCCTCTCCCTCTCCCTCTCGCGGATGTGCTCTGATCTTCCTAGATGTTTTACTTTACCTTATCTTTTATTTGTAGTCGACACATGTACGTTTAAACGAGTGTTTTTTGAGTAACTATTCAGGATCCTGTGTACTTTTTATTGTGTAATTAATTGCAGTCTACGAAATAGTCTCCGAAACTAAATAGAAGTAAACAAGATGCACTTAACTGCTGCTTTATAATGTGGAATGAAGAAGAAATTGAGAGGACTAATTAGAAATCGAACTCTTTTCTTTCGGATATATCGGAGAATATGTGCGGAAATCCTTACTTTGATCAATTCAATATTGTACTTTGAATCAATTAATAAACATATCCGTAAAATTATCAAATTGTAAACATCGAGCGGATTTATTGCAATATATTTATTTGCGTATATATTTTTCAATCCGTTGTCCGAGTTAACAGATTACGTTGATTGGTACATTACGCGATCAAGTGTAGCGTTCTAATTCGAAAGTCTGTTCAGGAACGAAGCAAGACTCCGAATTAATACGATTTTAATTTTTTCATTCCTATTGTCTTAATTGAATATATATACTAAGAGATGCATTGTAGAAATTTCCTTATGTACACCTTTATTTTCGCGTCATTGCCGTATTATTGAATCTTCTTCTTTTCTTTTCCTCATTCAAAAATGTCACCATATTTTTCCAAGAAAAATTGGAGTGCGAATTCAAGCAATTCTTTTGAGGTTTTGAATCGTTTCTTTCAACATCACAACCTGTATATTATAACGAGATGACTTTTGGAAGATTCCAGAAGTGCTTGTATCATTTGAATCATTTCAAGAAGCTCTTAACATAATTTCCACTCGCGAATTTATGCGAAAATGTTGCGAACATTTTGTTAATATTACAATACACAAATACACCTCGAGCATAATCAGAATCAAGTACACACGTACACACATTCGCGCGCGCACAATTTTTTCAATGTAATGTCCCCGACGAAGAAGTACGTACGACATTTCCCTTCCTCATCCCCTCCTTCCTTGTCCTTCTTTTTTTCACCGGATAAAACCGTTTCATTCTCCACATGAATCATGTTTCGATTTGTATGTACTATATTTTATGTAACATTGTCTACTACTAAAGTAAATTACGTACATACATATGTAAAACATATATATACAGGAACAACACTCATGTGTACTATATACGTGGTAGCATATCGCTTCCCGAATATTGAGTTACATGATTATGTTTGCGCACATGCCGTGATAAATTTGAGGTGACACACATAAATGTTAAGAGATATACAATGCGGTCGGAGGAGAAAGAATAAGAAAAAAACGGAATTAGGCAGAGCAAACGTATTATTACAATCAATATTACAATAATACAAGCAAAGGACCGATGAATTCTGTTGCAAAAACCAATGATTTATTAACGACTGTATTATGTTCTTCTTATTACCATACTATTTCTTAACGATACAATTCATCTATTATTAATCTAGTAATCGTAAAGCTTATATCTCTAGATTTTTGCGGCCCAATATTGCGAATATAGTGCCTGATTGTATACTAGATAATTATCTAATCATTTTGAGGGAACGTCGTGGAGGACGCTACGAGCATTGCATTGTGTGAGTGGATTAACGCGCGATTGCGATTATGTTTAATCGCAATAATTTTCTGCCGTAAAACGTGGGAAAGGTGTCTCCATACGTGTGCTCTTTCTTTTTTGGGCATGTTCCGAACAAGAGGAAAGAGATCTCAACAGTCACCTTTGTCATGTTTCTTTTTTTTCACTTTACTGTAATAAAGTGTGGTACTTCGTCTGTCCAATGACTTTGTTTAGCGCGAAAAAGATGATATGTCTGCATGTCGATACACCGAACAAAAGTAATGTACATAGGATATACAAGCGCTTAATTTGACATGAGCACGACTGTAGAAAGACAGCGCCTGATGTGAAGGATCGCAATATGTCAATCGAATCCATTGCAATGTGACCATGCAACTTGCCCTTTTTACATGGGAGAGCGGAGAGGGCAACAGAGATTTCGCGAGAAAAACAATTAGGTCTTTTTGTGTCTTATGCAGCAATACTTTTTTTTCCTTTCTTATTCCACCTTCAAAATAATCTCGCTCCACTTCGAAAGTGCAAAAGACGTAAGAAAGAGACACAGTTCGGAGGAAAAGAACTATCATTTTCATTATAGGTGTCACGGGTGACCAAGTGCGAGAAATATTCAGAGACATATACAGAAGAGGATTTTAGATTCTGATAAAATATATCTTACGTAACATGCAAATTTCCCTTCGGGAAATCTTCGAGTCAGAGATCAAAGATCATACGATATACTTTATGCCGTCGATCGTATATCGCACGCAATTCATAAATAAACTCATAAATAAATCAGAATTCCGACAACGTATTCGATTATTCGATAGAATATCATTCTATTATGGATATATACGTATGAAAATGACAAAATGTCAGTCAGAAAACGGCTTAGTCACGGTTTATCGCTAATCGATTAGATTAGGTCAGGTATCGCGATTGTCATGATTACGGTGAATTTAAATTCTGATGATGCAGAATGCAGATGATGCCTTGGTGCGCAAATCTCGCGTCGATTTTCGCGGTTGTATTGTTGTGCATATGAGGACAGAATACATATTTTCTTCTGTGTTTAATATCGTAACCTGAGCTAGGTGAAAAATCGGTTTCAGACGCTAATTTAAGCACATAGCACAGTTGTAAATTTTTCGTTTTTTCGTCGTCTTTTCGTTTCTCGAGATGTTAAGTACGTTAAAGTACGGAAAACAAACATATATGGTATGAGAGAGAGAGAGAGAGAGAGAGAGAGAGAGAGAGATTCGTAGAAATTAAGAAAGTCATATGTAGTAGACGTATAAACAATAAAAAAGAGAGCGCGCTGATGATCGTAGCTATTTCCTTTCCAAAAAAATATTCTAAACGCGAGTTTGCCATTGTATTAATTGCTTCTTCAAGGAGTCGGAGTGCGGTTATATGGGATACAGGAGGATACGATGTAGAAGGAAATCTGGGACAACGTTGTTGTCCCGAACAAGTCCCTTCTTTCGTTAGATAGAACCGAAGAAACATGTAAAAATGTACGAATTAGGAAATGTACTATGTTCATTTCTTATTTCCTTATAAATTCTCCGTATTAAGAATCTAGCGCGATTGTCTTCGATTTTCGTATGTGTTACATGGTGCATATTAAATTTATATCAGATAATTTATATCAGATATCCTTTTAGCTGCGAATTCTTCGATGAATTGAATTTTTGGAATTAATATTTTTTCGCGTGAGAATGTTTGCGGCATCAGTACTTTTTGTACAATTCAAAATAGACGTTTCTCAACAATTAAATTTTTAATAATACTTAGGTAATAAAATCATATTCTTCGATTAATGACATGTGATTTTTACTTCAACGATACATTTTTATTCGAGTCTTAGAAAAACACATAAGGATAGAAAAATAAACCTAGTATCATTGATATTTCCGTGGAACAACCGATTTCACATTCACCGAAGAATCTGTAAGCGAAGGAGTATTCAATGATCGCGCTATATTTTTCGTATGTGATATCCTTCTAAGTGCAGAAATTCGTTATCGTTATCGAGTTATCTATACTGTCGAAACTTAAAAAAAAAAGAGCTACTGACTGTCTGAGGAAATGTTCGGGAAACGATCCTGAAAAATATATGCTCACCACCAATTTCCTCACTTGGACGGATACCTCATATACTTGCGATCGAGATGAGAAGACGAAAAGAGAACGGAGGAAGAGACTTTATGTTATTTATCCGGTGAATTTGATTCCGATCAATGACAATTTGAAATACCGATACAGACTTATATTCCGATGAATGTCGCGAAAAGTGCTACTCTTGCTCTTGATAGAACTATTTTTTCGTCGACACGGTTGAGGCATTGTCCGTCTTATTGTTAAACGAAAAGTAGCAGAATGACAGCATCACAGAAATTTATCGTCGAATGCTTCTCGAATGCTTGAAGAGAGAAACGATACGCCTCGTGTGGGATCACGGGTGAGACGCGTGTGTGTGTCCCTCCCGTCCGCTAGATCATTATTTAGATATTCTAGATGCATTGTGCAAGGCTGGTACTTATGCAATCGGTGATATTAATTAGAATATTAGCATGTTTATCACTCACTTACTCACTCACGGGATCACCTTAACGCGACCCCGCCTATCGACATGTATAAAAGCTTCGAGATTCTTGACCGGTGAGGTCGATAAAAATTTTTCTATCCGAGCGACTGCATGTTTATCTCGGCGCGAGAGAAATAACGTGCTGATATTTTCTGTTACTGCGAAACACCTGGTATTCTAACGAGAATGTTCTTGTTCATAAAACTGTTTAAGTGCATTTCCTTCAAGATTTTAAAGCGATACGTTAAATCAAACTTGAAAAGATATCAACGAGGAAACTGGAAGACGATTTCCTCTGAAAGTTTACATAATTTTTTTTTGTACATGGTCGTGGCTGAATTATATAGAGTATTGTATAATAATAAAGCAAAATGTATTAATAATGTCATGTTATGTATAAAAATTTAGATAGAGATAGATCCAAAAGGAATTTGTGCGAAACTTATATAACGGAAATTATAAACTTAACAAAGGTTATCATGTTATCACAACGCGTTGTTTTGCACTCTTTGAAAAAACGTCGACTATCTTGAGTCGAATATTGCAACTTTCATTTGATACCGCAATACAATGACGCATTGATTTATTTATTCTTTCATTACATTCTTATGAACTTTTACTAGTGCAGATTATTATTATTTTTGGAAAAATATCTCTCTCTCTCTCTCTTTCTATCTCTCTCTCTTTTCGAATTATTTGACAAATTGCCAGAAACTGATTCTTGTTCACATTCCAAGTCACCAGTTAAGCGTCAAACTTGCTCACTATCGAATTTATATGACATTCCCTATGTACACAACTTGGAACTTGGAACAGGAAAAAAGTTTCTTCGAATAATATCTCACTGAGGAGTCCTTTTTTTTACGTCGATCGAGTATGTGACGCGCGGATTGTCGGATTGTATGCATAGGGGAATTTTTGCGGATTTTTACCAGATAATTTGATCGATGAATACAATACGAATATATATGAATAAACAAGTGCAAGAAATGAGAGTGAAAGCGAGAGCGAACGAGAGAGAGAGAGAGAGAGGGAGAGGAAGAGAGAGAGAGAGAGAGAGAGAGAGAGAGAGAGAGAGAGAGAGAGAGAGAGAGAGAGAGAGAGAGGGAGAGGAAGAGAGAGAGAGAGAGAGAGAGAGAGAGAGAGAGAGAGAGAGAGAGAGAGAGAGAGAGGAGAGGAGAGAGGAGAGAGAGAGAGAGAGAGAGAGAGAGAGAGAGAGAGAGAGAGAGAGAGAGAGAGAGAGAGAGAGAAAAGAGAGAATGTGTTGAGAAGCGAGAGAAAAGAGAGAATGTGTTGAGAAGCGAGAGATATGCGCGACGTATATTTAGGCGGAATATGTTAACATACATTACTGTTAAGTACTACTAGAGAAAGAATTCAAGTGAGGTCTTACACATAATAATTATCAAAATGTAAATTGTGTTTGGGTTGTATTTTGTGTTATTATATATGCCTCTGATGCTGAATATAATGAAAATTCAATCAAACTTCATATGCTTGACAGCTTCTTTCCTTGTTAGATAAAAAGATTGGTATATCTTATGGTATGTGAATGCAAATGTATTTTTAGACAGATGATTTAAAACATCATCTGTCATAACTCTTCATTTTCGGATGTTAAATATATCTTGAAAGTACATATTTAAATTAAAATTTGATTGCATATATTGATATATATATATAATATATAATTATGTATGTGAACCGATTTTTCGTAACTTCAGAATTAATCAACTCGAGGTCGATTAAACCCAAGGTCTGTTCCAAAATCGGTTTCGGAAACTGGTTTTAGCTATAAGCAGAGAGAAAAAGGAAAGGGGTCATAGGCCGCTTTTAGCCGAGTCTAATGCGAAGCGCTCTCTGTATAACCGTACGCATGAACTAACGACGTTTGTGTCCACGATTCTTTACTGATTTCCCCCACCATGCATGCATACATAGCCGACTCGGTCTATCCGTGTCACACGAATAGACCAAATCGGCTATGTGTCCTCTCCTTCTTCTTTCTACTTAAAGTATTTCGTCGGTACATCTATACATGGTTTGTTTGTTTGTTCGGATTACCGTAAAATTGTTGCATAGTGTTCCGAGAAATTTGCTAAAGATGAGTCAGCTGGAAGATGCCAAGAAAATCGCAGCTTACAGAGCCGTTGATGAATACGTGCAGGCAAGAGAATTTATTTAAAGATCTCATGTAATACTCAGCCGGCGTTAAAGGTTATTTTAATATTTCGGTGAATTCCATTATCTTTCAGAATAAAACTGTTATCGGTATCGGTAGCGGATCCACCGTGATTTACGCTGTTCATAGACTTGGTAATGACAATTCCTTTTTATCATAATTATTCACGTGGTTGTATTTAAAGGTCATATTTTGTGCGTTATTATTTAATCGGTTGTTTCAAATCTAAGAAACACGCATATATATATAGTAATTATTTAGAAGACGGGCCTCACCTTGGATTTCGCTCAAACTCACCTATCTTGTGTATTTTGACGTGTAGAAGCCGAATCTGCAAGTAAAAATGGTCGCTCGGCTCTAGTTTGCAAGAAATAAATAGTTAAAAAGTGATACATGCGAGGTTAGGAAATCTGTCATGTCGGCAATACAGAGACTTAAGCTAAGACTCCATGCATGCGGTGAGCTGCGGCAAACGGTTGCGGTGACCAATCAGGAGACAGACGCATGCCGGAGCTTGCCGCAACCGGACTTGCGCCTCCCTACTGATTGGTCACCGCAACCGTTTGCCGCAGTTCACCGCATGCATGGAGTCTTAGCTTTATGGTCTGTTCTTTTTAGTCGAAAAGTGTAAAATAGTACATGTTGGAGAGGGGCGAAGCCCTCTCCCCAAAGACATTTTCTTATATTAAACATATGAATTTTTAGCTCATGTATCAATGGTTATTACATAACAAAAGTAACCACTGATACATGAGCTAAAAATTCATATTGCTGCGCCCGTGCCTTTGGGGGACATGTTATCCTCACGCTCCTGGGAGTGGACTGCAAAGGAATCGAGTAGAGATTGTTTGACAGCTGTTGTTGTCAAGGAGATTGTTGATAAAAAAAGAAAGGAGAGATGAGAGAGAGTCGCCCTGGACACGTATTAAAATAAAGCTTCTTTCGTTTTGTTAATTCCGTGTTATTTTTCTCACGCAAGGGCGCAACAATATGTTTAATATATGAAAATGTCTCAACATATATATACATACAGTACCAACATATGTGTATATACACACACACAGGGGGTGCAAGGGGGGCCTTCGGCACCCCCATGTGTGTGTATGTGTGTACATATTTGGTACTGCATATATATACATGTTTGAGACTTCATTTCTCTTTTCTTTCAGACTTTCATTTGTTACATATCCCCCTCCTGCACTCTCCCCGTTCTCGTTGCGCATTGAAAGCTATATCCATAAGTTTCTGTATTACCGACATGACAGATTTCCTAATCTCGCATGTGTCACTTTTTAACTATTTATTTCTCGCAAACTAGAGCCGAGCGACCATTTTTACTTGCAGATTCCGCTTCTACACATCAAAATACACAAGATAGATGAGTTTGAGCGAAATCCAAGGTAAGGCCCGTCTTCTAAATAATTACCATATATATATATATATATATATATTTATTTATATATATATATTTATACATATAATTTTTTATAGTTATTTCTTGAGTATATCTTGTGCATTATCTGTTGAATTATTTTATTTAAAAACACTGAAAATTGAATACACGTGTGACTTGCTTGAATTATATTGATAGGGTCAGTATATTTTTATTTTTTTCAGTTTCTTTAAACTGTATATTTTATGTAACTAATTATATTTTATTTATTTATTGATGAGAAAAACATGAGATGAAAAAATATAAGAATAAATTATAAGTTTAATATTAAAATTTTATGGTAATATATTTTTTTTTATTGCATTAAATATTTCCAACAATAATTGCAAATGAATCTTATTTGTTTCAATTAATAATTAATTATATATTAGAAAATTTGATTATATTTTTTTGTTACTTTGTTACTTTGTTACTAGTGTTTTTTAGAATACAGCTTTGTCAATAATGCACCTGATAAATATGCAACTTTCAAAAGATTTACTTCTTGCATATATTTATAAGAATTTTATTTTCAGTTGAACGGGTCAAAACTGAAGGACTCAATGTAGTTTGTATCCCTACATCATTTCAAGCTCGTCAATTGATAGTGAAGAACCATCTAACTTTAGGTGATTTAGAAATTTATCCAGAGGTAATTTATTACTAATTGCTATGTTAATCTTTCTGTTTCATTGTATATTTGATAAATTGAATATAATAGCTGGATTGTGCAATTGATGGAGCTGATGAAGTTGATGCTGAAATGAACCTCATCAAAGGTGGAGGAGGATGCTTACTACAAGAAAAAATTGTTGCTTCCTGTGCCAAGCAATTTGTTGTTATAGCAGATTATACGTGAGTTAAAGATTTACTTATTTCTCATAATTGTAAATATTGTACATAGTAAATTATACTTTGTTCCAGAAAAAATTCACAGAAGCTTGGAGATCAGTATAAGAAGGGGATTCCTATAGAAGTGATTCCTATGGCATACAAGCCAATCCAACATAGAATCGAGGTCACATATGGAGGAAGTGCAAATATCAGGATGGCTTTGGCAAAAGCTGTAAGCATATTTTTATACATAGTTTATACTTGGTTTATTGGACAAGTTAAATATTACAGATATCTAAGCATATAAGTAGCTTACATACTATTTATAGGGTCCAGTGGTAACAGATAACGGCAATTTTGTTTTGGACTGGAATTTTCCTCAAGACATAACTGACTGGAATAAAATTAATAAGGAAATATCTCTGATACCTGGAGTTGTAGAAACAGGCTTATTTATAAATATGGCTGAGAAAGCTTTCTTTGGCATGGCAGATGGTAGTGTGAAAGTACAATGTTTGAAGAATCAAAAGATTTAACATACATGTATAAACATGTCTATTATTTTTTATCACATATATGGACAGCAATTGTGTCCATTGACTTATAAACTTTTACCATATGATCAAAGGCCTTTGATAAACTTTTGCTGCAAAAGTGTTATATTGTAAAGGCTTTCGATACATTTTTGTTGCAAAAGTGTTATTTTTGTTTTAAATATGTCATTTTATATATACATTACTATCACTTTTTATATCTATTTTTGGCATATAATTTGTACAGCACTCAAAACGTTTGTGTATATGTGTACACACACACACACACACACACACACACACATATATATATGCACACATTACTGTATAATATTTTTTTCTTAAAATGGTATAGAAGTATATGCATAATTTTATTAAATAACTAAAGTTTACATATGACACGTACAGTACAAAATGTTTGATGATAAAGTGTAGATTATATATTTATAAGGAAAAACTCGAAATGAAGTAAATATATATTTTCATAATATTTTGTCTATATTTTAAACATTTATGAAATTAATAATAATGTTTTGCTAAATATAGATATAAATCCGGATAGATATAAATTAGTAAGCTAAATATAGATATAAATGATTATATATGTATACAGATTTTCTTCTTTATATGCATTTTTTAGACTATGTTTCTATATTACGTGTTTAGTAGGCTAAAGAAACTATGGTCCACTAATTAGACTTCTAAAACCATTATAGTAAACTAAAAGAATGCAAGATAATTTCGTTTATTCAACTGTTATTGGTGTTAAACATAACTAAGAATAATGAAATTTAAACATATGTTTATAGATAATGCATATGACGATGGATATTTCTGCTGTACGACATTAATGCTATTTCTGTTATCAAACTTAAGAATAAAAAAAATCGCCCGAACAGGGATTCGAACCCTGGACCCTCAGATTAAAAGTCTGATGCTCTACCGACTGAGCTATCCAGGCGGTTGTACAAACCTGCCATTATATTTTGTAATACTAGTGTAGATAACTTCAAAATGATATATATATATAGTTTTTTATACAATATTTTATTTGTATTGAGGACAATAATCATATTAAATTGAAAACTAATAATTAATCGCGAATAATATAAAATTAAATTCCAACATACTTGAATACTTTTTTTTGCATATTTCTTTAAGCCAGATGTAAAAATCATTCTTTTCCTTTCTTTCAAACGTAGGAAAATGACACATATTTTACAGTAATTAATTAAATTAACAAAAATGCAGTTTCGGGTTTACCATAATGGAGAAGATTACATATACGAACACGGTTTTCGGATGTGTGTGTATTATCAGAGAGAAGAAGGAGAGGTGTCACGGGTGACCATATCCCAGTCATAAAAAAAGAGTAAAAGACGGGTAAAAAAAAAAGAGTATAAAAGAGTACTAATTACGGTCCCAAAAGAGTACAGTAAGTAGAACACAAAATCATATAAAAGTCAAGGTGACGTCAAATAATATAAAAATTATATCATTTTGACGTAAAAATGATTTTATGTTTTATCTGGGATAGTGATTAGTGGATTACTAGGTATAATATTTAAAATAAAACATAGTGGGTACTAAATAAACCGAGAAATATTAGTCGAACACATATATTTTATTATATTATTAAGATATTTTATAATTATATTTTGCACTCCGTACATCATCTGACAATTTCGGTTTTCACTGTGTCGTTACCAAAGAGCGGACATCAGCGCCGTTTTCCGCACTCACAACGCCAGAGCGCTACGCGCCAGTGTCGATTGTGCTGCACGATTTATACGAGGGCAGTCTGAAAAGTTCTCGGCCTAACAATGAAAGAAAATTTTTTTGCCGTGAAATATGTTTTATTTTTCAATATAATCTCCTGAAACTTCAATATGTTTATTCCAACGTTTTTCCAATAATTTAATATCATTAAAGTATGATTCCGGAAAGTTTTTTTCGCTCTGGTGTATAGTGGTGGATCCAAGTTTCATCAACAATTATGAAACGACGCTTGAAATCCATTTTATTTTGCTTAAAACGATCCAAATACGTTTGAGAAATATGCATTCGAATGCGTTTTTGGTCAATTGTTAGCAAATGCGGCACCCATCTTGCACAAAGCTTTCTCTACTGGTACTACTACTCGAATGACTTGACCGATCGAATAAAATTTTACATGGGTTTATATCAGTTTATATTAGAGATGCCACTTTCCAATACAATTATAGTTTGACAGTTTCTAATGCCATGTATGTATCAGGTGGAGAACTTTTCAGACTGTCTACGTAGTAACTAGCGGTGCACTGTTGTGCAGAACCTCTACGCATAATCGGTATTGGCGCTCGCGGCGCACAAATGCTGTGAGTGATGAAAACGTCACCAAAGTCTGCTCTTTGGTCATTATCGACAAAGTATAATCAGAGAGAAGAATGAGAGCGGCCACCAGCCGTATTTCGGGGGATACGGCTAAGCGCATTTAGATACGCCATCTGACCAAAATATGCCTAAACTACGTCCGCTAGGCGCACTTTCGCGGTGATAAAAGTAAAATGCGCCTAGGTTCGTGTCCGTACTACTTCCATGCAATGGATAGTAGATTAGAAAAAGACAGACGACAGACAATCGTTCCGTCTTTGTCTCACTACTGAGCGGCGCGCGGCAGTAAACGCGAGGCGAGGTAGCGGCGATCTTATCGCTAAGCGAACATCTCTCCGCTTTTCTTTCATCTTTCACGCTCCAGAGACATCAAAAGACGCGGTAGCGTCTCGTGTCAAGGGAACGTGCGAAGCGAGGAATTATTTTTCACGCACGCGAGGTAGCACATGGGAGACTAGACGAGCGTCGACATATTCTTCCCCTTCTTTCCCGCTCATCTAGCTTATTGACTGCGTGAGCCGCGAGATTTTTCTCGCTACTCCTATACCTCGCTCTTTCTCTCTCTCGCTCGTTCTTTCTCTCTCTCGCGCACTTGCTCGCTCTTCCTTTCTTATCGTGTTCTTACGGCTTGATTAAATATATTAATTACATGACAATATATATATAAATAAATGACACATATATAGTGTATATGTATATAAAGAATATTTAGTATTAATGCACAAATAAAGAAGAGAGAAATATAATGAGAGACGAAAAGTTAATAGAAATCTACTCTTAGCCAACATATACATCTTTTGAAAATGATTTGTTATTAAATTTCATTTCATTTAATTTTTAATTTAAATTTATTAGCATAAATAAATTATTCTGTCATATACTTTAATAACAAATCATTTTTAAAAGATGTATATATTGGCTAAGAGTGGATTTCTATTAACTTTTCGTCTCTCATTATAATTCTCTCTTCTTTATTTGTGCATTAATACTAAATATTCTTTATATACATATACACTATATATGTGTCATTTATTTATATATATATTGTCATGTAATTAATATATTTAATCAAGCCGTAAGAACACGATAAGAAAGGAAGAGCGAGCAAGTGCGCGAGAGAGAGAAAGAACGAGCGAGAGAGAGAAAGAGCGAGGTATAGGAGTAGCGAGAAAAATCTCGCGGCTCACGCAGTCAATAAGCTAGATGAGCGGGAAAGAAGGGGAAGAATATGTCGACGCTCGTCTAGTCTCCCATGTGCTACCTCGCGTGCGTGAAAAATAATTCCTCGCTTCGCACGTTCCCTTGACACGAGACGCTACCGCGTCTTTTGATGTCTCTGGAGCGTGAAAGATGAAAGAAAAGCGGAGAGATGTTCGCTTAGCGATAAGATCGCCGCTACCTCGCCTCGCGTTTACTGCCGCACGCCGCTCAGTAGTGAGACAAAGACGGAACGATTGTCTGTCGTCTGTCTTTTTCTAATCTACTATCCATTGCATGGAAGTAGTACGGACACGAACCTAGGCGCATTTTACTTTTATCACCGCGAAAGTGCGCCTAGCGGACGTAGTTTAGGCGCATTTTGGTCAGATGGCGTATCTAAAATGCTCCTAGCCGTACCCCCCGAAATACGGCCGGTGACCGCTCTCATTCTTCTCTCTGGTATAATTAACATTACGAAAAAAGAGTACATACAAGAGTACAATACGTAAAAAGTAGAGAGTACTCTTTTTACCACCTTAAAGAATACATATACTCTTAAGGCCCAGTTCTACAACTTGCTTTAAATTCAGTTTAAAGCAAGTTGTGGAACTGGGCCTAAAAGAGTACATATGGTTACCCTAGTCACGGGCCGCTTTTAGCCGTGCCTAAAGTCACTAGATATATAAAGTACCGCAATCGTCCTCCATTTTGGGGCCAAGGCAAGCGCGGGCATTCAAATCATATATTCGTTATAAACATTATTATGTATATTATATATATAAAGCGATACATAGTTAAGTAATATATTATTTCTCATGAATATTCAAATTTAAAAGTTTTGAGCTATTTTGTTGAAAGAGATAATGATTTATAATGACTTTCTAACTTGTAATATAGTGCATCTTTATAGCTAAGCCTTAAATAAAAATTCTGTTAAAGTAAAGTTTACTTGAATTTCATCGAAAAGAATAATTGTTATCTATTTAGATCTTCGAAACATAGTGTACAAAAAAAGCTTTATTTTGATTACTTATATCTCGTAAAGTATTGAAATCTTAACATTTTCGTTCGGGACTTTTGTACTTACATTTTCATAAGGATAAACATTACCAAGTATGTCGGTAATTACTTTCCGGTTTTTATAACAGATGTCACTAGCCATAAGTATGCTGTGAGGACTTTGAGCTCCCCAAAGCGCACGCATCCGTTTTCCGTGCGGCGCTATAGAGCGCGCGCAAGTGTCACTCGTGCGGGGAAAAAAGAGCAACGAATTAGTAACCGTTGGAAGCGCTCACAGAGTTAACGGATAATACGATCGCTAGTCATAGCTTGAGTATTTGTCTTTTGTCGTGTGTGACACCGCGATTTCTGCACGCGGTCGCGATTGTGCGAGAGCGGGCAGGCAGGAGCATCGGCTCCGTTCGGCCCACACACATATACATACGAGTCCCGCGACTCATATGTCGTGCGAGCGCAGAGAACTGTCTTTGTATCTTCGAGGCGCATAAGTTGTACCTGTGATTCACGTGCTCTGCAGCTGGCAGGCACGT